GAAATTGACAGAGGCATTAGTTGCTCAAGGGATGTGATGAGCAAAGCCTATAGCATCACCCTCCGCTGGCCAAAAAGAGCCCGGGGTCCTGCATCCTGCTGTACCGTCCCAGCCCATCCTCTCTCTCCAGGGGCCTCTGACGAGCTGACAGCTGGTGAAACCAGGATTAAGGTCAGACACCAGACACAACACGAAACCGAGGAACCACGACAGACCTCAGGAGCCACGGTGACACGGGGGGACACTCACTAAACGTAGGTCAGTGATGGAGATGGTGGTTTTGCACTCGTGGTACCATTTGCAGAAAAAGATCCCTGCTCCTGTTGCTGCCTGCACTCTAAGAACAAGGCAGTTGCAGCCCTAGAGGTACCTCGCCCAAGGCTCCCAGCTAGAAAGTGGTTGAACTAACATCTGAACATAGATCTGTCCCCACCCACTCCGGGCAGAAGTGAGAGACCCTGAAGGACTTGCTTCACCCCATTCTCCCTCCAGCCCCATGCCCCATGCGTCAGAACTCAGGGCAACATACCATCTGTTCCTAGAGTCCGTCAGTCTGGGATGAAGGCTGCTCCCATGCTTTGAATACGCACCCTAAGTGGTCTTGGTGTGGGTGACGCGCTAGCCACGCAGAGGGCATCGCTGCCCTAAATGATGGTAAAGCCAGATAACTCAGGATTACCAAAAAGGAGGTACCTCTGGGGAGACTGAGCTGACTGCGGGGTGTCCGGGGTGACACGCAGGCTGCACGAGACACACAGCCAGATGCGTCGTGGACACTGGACGCAAAGAAACCTCTTCCTTCCTTAGCAGCTCTCTTTGGGACTCACTTGAGGGGTTGTACTTCCTCTCTCTGAAGCACACACTTAGCCTGGGCTCCTAGCAGAACAAAGCATCACGGGCTGGGTGGCTGCACAACGGACACACGTGGCCTCACAGTTCTGGAAGATGGAGGCCCGAGACCAGGGTGCCAACAGAGGTGGTTTCTGGCGAGTGCTCGCCTCCTGGCCTCCTGGCGTGAGGACAGCAGGCTTCCAGCTGATTCCTCACAGGGACTCGCAGCGCACGTGCAGAGGGAGGCAGCAGGCACTTGTGTCTCATTCTCTTTCTAGAAAGACACAAGGTCGACCGGCTCAAGCCGCCACACCTACAACCTCATTGACCTTTGACCTTCAGCACATGCGTAGACGCCCAGTTGCATTAGGGGTCAGGTCTTCAACATGTGGATTTGTTGGAGGGCAACACAAGCCATCGATTCATGGACTCAGTTACGGGGCAGGCACACTTCATCGTTTTCCAGTAGCCTGGCTGGGGGTAAATGCTGTTATGGTCTGTCCAGTAGATAGGGTTCCTGAGGCAGGCATGACGTCGTGACTCTGGACGCTGGTTGACCTTGGACAAATCACTGACCTGAGAAAGTAGGATCAGGTAGTTGAGTAGTGAAGATGCTGCTTGGGGGACCTACATCCAACGGTGAAGTTGGTCCCCAACTCCAGCTTCCTGTTCATGGACACCCTGGGAGGCAGCCTTACCGGCTCCCGTGGTTAGGTTCTGACCACTCATGCAAGAAATCCAGTCCTTGGCTCCTGACCCCGCCCAGCCCCTAACTTACAAGCACTCGGAGAGTAAAACAGCAGCTGCAAGTTCACTCAGAGTAAAGTGTCCTCAATAACGGTCTGTCAGTAGGCTTTGGTCACGTTCATGGTCACAGGTTAGTGAGACAGAAATAAGCACCTAGGTACGTGACGGTTGTTAGGAGTTCAAACAAATATTGTTCTCTCAACAAGGATGTTACAGCCCCCTTCTCCCGGGAACCTCCACATGCCAAACAACCACTTACAGAATCACGTGGTCTGGTGGGTGCCCGCTGCCCCCTTCCCTCTGAACTGATTATCATCTGAAGCTTGTGCTTCTCACACATCAAACAGCACTTTCTTTGCTCATTCTTTTAAACACATTTCTTTGAAAGAGAAAAGGAGCGATAGCAAGGAAGCAGAGAAATCTTCCATCCACGGGTTCACTCCCTAAAGAGCCACGATAGCCAGAGCTGTTTCGGGCCGAAGCCGTAAGGTCCAAAAAAACACACCACCCTCGGCTGTTTCCGCGAGTGGGGAGCTGGACTGGAGGTGGAGCAGCCAAGACCTGAATCAGTTGCTGATGCCGTGGATAATGGCTCCACCCACCGAACCACGATGCCAGGCCTTGCCATTTGGACGCCCACCTCTAGATACAAGCTAAAATTAGATCTGTGTGGACCAACGTGTGCGTTCGTGCCTTCTCCTCTGCTGCCCCCTAGTGGCCATGTCGGGACCTGCATAGCACCAACATCCCTTCCAGCGGGTTGGGGATTTCATGCGATCTTGTCACCGGGATCTTTGGGACCCGTTTACTGAAGAGCAGCATGATGCCCTTCTGCTCTTTGGTGGAGAATTCCAACCTGCTCATGTTGCTTTGGGATTTCTTCCCCTTAGCAGCGTGCAGTGACTTCACGCCAACTCAGAGATCCTAGAAGCCGGCACTCTGGTGTGTCAACAGACGCTAATGGTTCATTGGCGGCCACCACGCCTGCTGCAGCCAGAGCTGCTCTGTAGGAAATGGAGGCGGGGCCGGTTAGATCACCAGGACTTCCCTCCTGCTCAGGAGAAACAAAATGTTTCACTAAGTTGAAATGACAGCGTCATAACAGTACTAATTTTTTGAGATGCTCCTATGAGTTACGTTAAGTGTTGGGTGGTTTACCATTATTAACTCACTGATCTCTTATTCCAGTTGTTGTTATCTCCCAGCTCCAAAAGCGGGTGGGGAAAAAAAGGCACAGTCAGTAATTGTGGGCTACAGAACCCTCAAACTGTTTTTCTTTGTTTCTCTTTTAAACTTTTAATTTTGGAGGACTGGTGCTGTGGCATAGTAGGCTAAACCCCTGCCTCTGGTACTGGCATCCCATATGGCTGCTGATTCAAGTCCCAGCTACTGCACTTTGGATCCAGCTCCCTGATAACATACCTGGGAAAGCGGAAGATGACCCACGTGTTTGGGTTCCTGCACACACGTGAAAGGTCTCGAAGAGGCTCCTGGCTCCTGGTGTCAGACCAGCCCAGCTCTGACCACTGCAGCCATTTGGGAAGTGGACCAGCAAATGTCTCTGTGTGTCTCCCTCTGTAGGTGTGTATCTCACCTTCTGTCTCTGTGATTCCGACTTTTAAGGTGAGGAAAGGACAGAGAGCGAGCGGGCTGAGCCCTCATCCACCGGTTCACTTCCAGATCCAACAGCCAGGGTCAGCCAGGCTAAGATCTCCTTCCGGGTCTCTCACGTGGGTGGCAGGAAGCCAAGAGCCGCAGCCACCACCCACCATCCCCCAGGCCGTGCCTCAGCAATAAGCTGCACGGGAAGGGGAGGAGCCAGGACTTGAACTAGGCACACCAAAGGGCCTGCAAGAACAATGCCCCCAAATGTCAGTCTTAAATTACCCCAAAGCAACTGGACTTCCTTGGAAAAGGCCTAACTCCAAGCCACGGGCAAGGAGAATAGCACGTTATCTGGGACACAGATCAGAAGACAAAGCATGGTCTCTAAAACTATTACGTCATTTCCAAACTGGCCAAAAGGCTACTCAGGCCCAAAGCAGCAAAGCCATGACGGTGGCAAATCCAGAGCTCTCGGACCATCTGTCAGCACACGCTGGTACGTGATGTGAGCGAGAGCTCTTCCTTGCGGCTTGCCAATAAATACGAAAGGAACGATAACATTAGGAAATCACCTATGTATCAGTAAATAAAGAATTCAGCAAGTTGGGCCTGGCGCGATAGCGTAAAGTCCTCACCTTGAATGTGTCGGGATCCCATATGGGCGCTGGTTCTAATCTCAGCAGCCATCCAGCTCCCTGCCTGTGGCCTGGGAAAGCAGTCGAGGACAGCCCAAAAAGCTTTGGGACCCTGCACCCACATTGGAAACCTGGAGGAATTTCCTGGCTCCTGGCTTTGGATCAGCTCAGCTCCACCGTTGCAGTCACTTGGGGAGTAAACCATCGGACGCAAGATTTTCCTCTCTGTCTCTCCTCTCTGTATATATGACTTTCCAATAAATAAATGAATCTTAAAAAAAAAATAGTAAATACAGCAGAGCCTAGAACCATATTCAAACAGCTCTCAATAACTTTCTGTACTTTCCACTTTTTTTCTTTTTTAAAAAGATTTCTTTCAATTGGAAAGGCAGATCAAATTTATGGAGAGGAGAGAGACAGAGAGAAAGATCTACCATCTGCTGGTTCACCCCCAAGTCCAACGGCCAGAGCTGAGCCAATATGAAGCCAGGAGCTCTTTCCGGGTTTCCCATGTGGGTGCAGGGTCCCAAGGCCTTGGGCCACCCTTTGCTGCTCTCCCACAGGCCACAAGCAGGGAGCTGAATTAAGTAGAGCAGCCGGGACACGAACCAGTGATCATATGGGATCCTGGGGCATGCAATGTGAGGATCCAGCCAGTGAACTATTGCATCGAGTTCCCACTTTTTTTCCTTAAAATTTTACTTTATTTATTTGAAAAAGAGAGTTACACATAAAGAAAGAGGTCTTTTTCCACACACCCCGCAGACGGCGGCAAAGGCTGGGGCTGGGAGCCAGACCAAGCTGGCAGCCAAGAGCTTCTTCCAGGTCTCCCACGCGGGTGCAGGGTCCCAAACACTTGGGTCACGCTATACTGCTTTCCCAGGCCACAAGCAGCGAGCTGAATGAGAAGTCGAGTAGCCAAGACTTGAACTGGCACCCTGATGCTGACACTACAGGCAGCAGCTTAACCTGCTATACTACGAAATCAGCCCCACTTGCCACACTCTCTACAATGAAATTTCTTAGACAAAAAAAAAAACCACAAAAAACAAAAAACAAAAACTACACATTTTCTTTCTAGTAATGAAATTCAACAGATATTATCAAAGCTCTTCTATAGTTGGTCAATTCTTGAGTGACCAGGAACAACAACAACAACAAAAAAAAACAAGAACAAAACTGTGGATGTTAAAGCTAAAATTTAATTTCAGATTACATTTTCCCTGACCCTACATTACACATTTTTTTTTCAAATAAGAAATAAAGGGGAAAAAACTCAAATGATGTTCATTATTATAAATACACAGAAAAAAAGACTAGAAAAATACATACAGAAAGTGTAACAGGGAGTTATTTTGGTTGGTGAAAGTGTATGGCTCATTAGGTCTTTTTGGGTTAATCTGTAATCCCGTCCCCATGGTTAACATCCGTTACCTTTTGTAACAAGTGTCTGCTTTCTTTTTAAGAGCCAGCCAACCATGACAGCACCTCTGTACAACGGAGTAGCAATGGCAGTTTCACAAAGCCTTGCAGCGGGCTATCCCACAACATGACAGGGTCTGACAGTGCATCAGCTGACCGCAGCACAGGGCAGCGTGTTCAGAATGGTCCCACTGATGTGCTGACAGACAGGAAGGCTGTGCAAACAGAGAACACGCAGGCGGGACTTCCCGGCCCCGAGGAGCTGAGCCCCCTCTCCTGCTCTCCTTTCTGCTTCTGCCTTTTGGTCAATGTCCTCTACTAAGCATGGACTATTTTCGCAATAAGCACAAAACAAACACAGGTTTTGGACAGTCCTGATGGGACATAAAGTTGCCTTGCTGGATAGAGCGAGAGGGGCAGGAGCTTTCTGGTTCCACACGCTCCTTTGAGGAGCGTTCCACTGCCACCCCGGTTGGAGGGTTGAGGTTGATGCTTGCCTGGCAGCGCCCCGAGGGCAGTCGGCACCCACACTTCCTGCAGATCCCTGATCCCCACTTCCCAACACTGGGGCCCACCACCAGCTGATGCACCCACTGCCTGGGACCTTAGACAAGGCCCTCATAGAGGTCAAGGAGAAAAAAAAATTCAACTGCCTTCTGGGGCTGTGGATCTGATTACAAGTAAATATACAAAGCATTTGATCAAGGAAATGCACTACTGATGTTTCAAACAACCCACCCCCGGGGGACCTGGCAGGCCTGTGCAGGACACACTGTCCTTCTGGGAGGCTCTGTAAATATTGACAGGGAACAGTCACGGAGATGCCATGCCACGGAGTCTGAGCTAAACAGCTCCAACGCACGGCTTCCTGTTTGTGCAAGTTCAAGTCGTTTTATTGCTAGCTACAAGGCGAGTCAGCATTCTGATTGAATGTAAGAATTCCTAGGCTTGACGCACGATGAAAGGGACTACACGGAACAGCTGAAGAGCCAGCAGACACAGCAAGGAACAGAGAAGCAGACACGCGCCTTCCAGCCCCGCCATGAGCGACCCACGCAGCCGCCCGCCCTGGCTTCAGTCAATCTCCAGGTCGCTGTCCTCGCTGTGACAGGTGGCAGAGCTGCGCACTGACGTCAGCAGCAGGACCTCCTTCTCCGGGAGTAACCCAAACTCCCGCAGAAACGCTTCGAGGTCCACGGCAAAGAAGTCTTCCCCCAGCTGGTCGGTGACGCGCACGAAATTGCCGACCAACTCGCCTCCCTTGTAGATGAGCAGGGCCGGGAGGGCGTTCCTGGTGAAGCGGCTGCTGGCCCCGATGACCGAGCTCCTCACGCGGCAGAACTTGACGGCCGGGTACTCGGCGGCCAGGCAGATCATGCAGCCGTTCATGGCCTCGGTGCCCGGGATGCCGTCCTCGTAAATGTGGACCATGACTAGCGTGCTTTTCTGTTCCTTGTCGATCGTGTCTAAAAACCCTTCTCCGCTGGGGATCTCGAAAACCTGCTTGAACTGGGGCCCCCCGTGAAGCTGCTGCCGCATCTCTTCCATCCTCTGCTTCCGGTACTGCCGCAGGAAAGCCTCATCATCCTGGTCCTCGTGCATCATGGCCAGCTCCTTCAGGGTCATCTGCACGTGCAGCAGAGGGAGGGCAGGGACACAAGCACGCATACTCAACAACCAAGGCACCTGCGCCTCTTATCACTTCTGCTTTTTATCAATGAGATCCCAAGATTTAACACTGCTTGCACTTGTTCATGCAAACGCCAACTGTAAGACTGCGACTCAAATGAGATTTTCAAATCCCAGCCTTTGAACCACAACACGTTGCCTCTCATCCAAACAGGCCAGCTCCTACTTTTTAGTAAATCATACCTACAGGGTCCTGTTTGGTTTGACCACTCCTTGGCCCTTAGGCAGGAGCCAGGTTTGTTCCACTGCAGGGAAGCCAGCAGGACCCTGTGCCTGCTGTTTTCCCGCGTGGTCTTTGGCCTCGATAGCAGGAAGTGACCAGCTTAAGCTCCATAAGCATCTTCCTTCTCCCGCCTGGGTGCAGACACAGCTACTTCATGCTCATCCCAGCTCAGTCCCATCCTGTAGAGGCGAGGGACCGGTAGCACAGAGGAATCTTACTGGATTAAAAAAGCCCAGCAGGCCAGGCCCTGTCTCCAGCATTCTATCCCCACAGCCCTGTGCATGCGGGTATGAGGTGCTGATCTCACTGACCCAGTGTAGAACCAGATCAGAAAGGAAGCTGCTTGCCCAGGGGTTCTGGAAGCAGAGCCGAGAGCGCATCCCGAGTGTGTCTCGGTCCTGGCCCAGCTCTGCACAGCTCCCAAACTTCCCCATCCTGCCGGAGCCCCTGACCCGGCCACAGCAGCCAAGGCAGCTTCGGAGAAGGGCCCGGCTCTGGCCCAATTACCTTCCCACTGATCTTCTCCTCCAAGTCCTTCTGCTTCCGCTGCTCCTCCTCTTCGTCCAGGTGGGACCTGCAGCTCATGGACAGCTTCTGGATGAGCCGTTCCATCTCCCGGCACTGCTCCTCCCTCTGCTCCGTCTCCAGCTGCTTGAAGCGACGCCAGTCTTGGATCACACCTTTGGGACCTGAGCGGCATGGATACGGACGTGACCGGTGGGTGCCGAGAGCGGGGAGCTCTCCGTGTGCTCTGCCACAAGCTGGCAAGGCAGACGCAGCAGCCATGGTGATAATAAGTACAAAGCCAGACTGAAGCCTGAGAGGCAGGGATTTAAGTAAATAAACCATGAGCCTTTGACTTCCTGCCTTGAGAAATATTCCAAATATCTCAGGTTTTCCAAAAAGGGCTATTTGTCATCCGCCCAGGGCAGTGAAGATCAGAAAGCCCGTTAGCACAGTAGAAAGATCTGTGTATGGAGAAATACCACACATTGCTGCTTCAACTACCACACTCACGCGGACTGACTGCAATGTAAAGACGTGACTGTGTCATTTCTAGGAATTTATGCCACTGATCAAAGCATACCTATAACTTACAGGATATCAAACAATTACTATCGGGAGACTCAAGAAAGAAACCTAGGTCAGTCCATGTTCCTTACCATGCTGCTATGCACACACATTTGCTCCGTGCGGTGGGAGAATCTAGAAGCGTTCACGGTGACAGAGCTCTGTACCAGCTCTGCATGCCGAGGCCCCGAGGGATGAGGACTGCACAGACAGAACAAAGCCACCTGCCAGAGTCCAGGGCGCGGCCGTACCTGTATTCACTGAGACGCCTTCGCCTGCCAGCTCAGCCTCTGCGGGCATGGCACTGCTGGCGGGGGCGCCCCGGCCTCCGTCCTTGTCCTCGCGGTCGCTGTCCTCATCCTCACTGCTGCTGTAGTAGTACTGCAACTTCTCCCCCAGCAGCTTGTCATCCAGGGTCGTCATGGTGCCTAGAAGAGGCAACGGGTCAGGCTCGTCACCGGCCGAAGCACACCGAGCGAGAGAAGGCGGAGGCCCACGGTGCTGACTCACAGGACCCTCAAAGCAGGCAGGGCGTGGGGTGCTCAGTTAGCCCACCCCTTGGGACAACTGCACGCCAGCCCCGAGTGCCTTGGTTGGAGTCCCAGACCTGCTCTCAACTCTAGCAGCCCTGCAAGGCACAGCCGACTGCTCAAGCACCCGAGCCCCTTTCTATGCGTGTGGAAGCCCCAGATGAAATTCCAAGCTCCTGGCTCTGGCTCCATCCATTCCTGGCAGGTAGGGGCATCTGGGAAGATAGCCCTCCGGCACACTCTTTCTGCTCCAAAAATACATTTTTAAAAATTTAGGTATTAAAAGAAAAAAGCACAATCTCTCTAGAAAATTCTACCATGATCCTGGGTACGAGGGTTTACTGTGCACTTTTTTTTTTTACTACTATGCATTTTTTAAAATATTTATTGGCTTGGAAGGCAGAATTGCAGAGCAAGAGAAATCCCCCTTCGGCTGGTTCAGACCCCAAATGACCACAACGACGAGTGCCAAGCCAAGACCAGAAGCCAGGAGCTCCATCTGGAGGTCTCACGCGGGAGGAACGGCACCACGTTATTTCCATTATTTCCCCGCTGCTTCTCCAGGCACATTATGCTCTTTTCTAGAAGGTACAATTCCAGGCTCCAATAAGGCAATTTCCTTTGCCCACCTTTTATAGCAAACAGGGGAGCTGGGATAGACCCCAGGGATCCCACCGCTCAGCATCCTTCTCCAAGGTGCCAATGATTGTCTTTAACAATGGATGGTTTTAGGTACACTTCCTTTCCTAGCAACTACAACGCCTGGGTGACTGAAAAATCCTGAGCAACGCCTTCACAGAGAAGCATCAAAGGCAGGCCTGCTGCTGAGCCTCGGTCTTCCCCTCAGGTCTCCCTCCCCCCAGCCCTCCCCATTCAGACTGGTCCAAAGAAGGACTCAGCTCCAGCAGGTGCAGCCAGGTGCTTTGGGGGCGGGGCAGGAGGAGGGGCAAGCGCGAGAAGGCGGAGCCAAAGAGAGGCGTGGGGGCGGGGGCGGGGCTAGCGTGCGGGGCGGGGCCGGCGTCACCGAGGACCGACGTGAGGGGCGGGGCTAGTGTGCGAGAGGCGGGGCCCAGCGGGGCGGGAAGGCCCGGGCAGCCCCGCGGGGGAGCGGCGGGCCGAGGGCAGGGAGGCCATGGAGGGCGCGGGGCCGAGGGGGGCGGTAGGCCGAGCAGCGCTCCCCGGGCTCGCCGGCCATCCTCCCACCCGCCCGCAGCTCCCTCCCGTGCCACCGCAGTGAGTTACCGGCCTAGCTCGGTCTGGATCCTCGAGATGACAGTTCCGGGAACCAGAAGGGAGGGAAGCGGCTCGGAGCCTTGAGGATCGTGGAGCAAAGCCGGCGGAGTCCCGGCTGCGAGGGCCAATGGGGCGGCCTCCTGGCGTCACGTGGACACACGTTGGCCAGTTAGCGGCAGCTTCTCCGTGACCGAGGGAGGGGCTACAGATCCCGTCTTGGGACAAAACACCTCCTTAACATACACGGTAGACTAGGTCTGCCTTAACTACGGTTTGGGCAGGGACGAGGTAGCCTGTAATGTGTCCATATGCCCAGCTGTCAGCGATAAAAACAGTGCATGCGCTGTAGACTGTTCAGAGATGAGACTTTTTCGTTATGTTCATCTCAGAGCAGGGAACACCACCAGGTTTCCCTCTGAGTGACCCAGATCGCCTCTCAGCAGCAGACAGGAATCCAGAGCCCAGCCGGACCAGGGCAAATGCTCACCCCTCCACAGGTATCATCACATGTCATCTATCGAGACAGAAAGCAGATACACTCATCTGCACAGGGTTACACAGCCTTACATCCAGGGCTTGGATTAAACTTTGTGTTTGAAAGCCAGACCCAAGACAACCAAATCCAATGTGAAATCCAGATTGGATGTTGGCACAATAGAAGAGTAACAATGGGATGCCTGCCAATATTTGACTAGCATCTGTCGGTGGTTACTATGTTATATCAATAGTTTAGCCAGGATTAAGGTGATGTAGAACCTTAACCTTTAGATGTTCTGGATGAATAGTATAGGACAACTCAATACTACGTTTTCAACATTTTGACAAACCTAGAATAACTGGAAATTCTGAACCCTCGTGTTGTGTCTAATATGCAAATGGCAATGTTGTCATGAAAAGCATTGTGCAAGCTGGAGCTCCTGGGGGCAGGCATTGTGGCACAGCACGGAAAGCTACCACAACAGCATTCCATATGGGCAGCCCTGACCTGCTGCCTGAGGCCGTTTGGGTGGAGGCTCTCTCTCCTGTGCTGCACCTTCCCTCTGAGACTCCTTTAAAATGAATAAGTAAATCTTTGAAAATACACAGACAGTTTTGAGTATAGTGAAGGACTTCTAAAATTGCGGTTCTAGGACCCCAAGAAATGATTTGCAAGTAAGGGCGCGTAAATACTCGTTTGAGACGATGTTTGCTTTATCTAGGGAGTGCAAAGAGCCCCCATTTGCCCCAAATACAAAGAAACTGCTTAAAGAGAACCTAGGGTAACTGTTGTATCTTTGTTTTCCAGAGGAGTACATCAGTCAGCCATATGAGAATAGCCATTTCCCAGTGGCTCAGCAAGAATTTGATTTTTGGAAAGAGTACAGTAGCATATCGGATAATCCTTTATCTATGGTGCCAACATCTGGTTTATGTTCCAACGGTCCTGCTCTACTTCCTATCCAGCTCCCTGCTTGTGGCCTGGGAAAGCATTAGAAAACAGCCCAAAGCCTTGGGAGTCTGCATCCACATGGGAGACCCAGCAGAAGCTCTTGGCTCCTGGCCCCTGGCTTCAGATCAGCTCAGCTCTGCCCATTTGGGTAGGAACCAGTGGGTAGAAGATCTCTGTCAATTTGCTTTTCAGATAAAAATAATTTTAAAAAAATTAATTTTGGGGTCCTGGAGTGATAGTCTCTTGATTAAATCCTCACCTTATATCCACCGGGATCTCACGTGAGTGTCAGTTCATGTCTCGGCAGCTCCACTTCCATCCAGCTCCCTGCTTGTGGCCTGGGAAAGCAATCCAGGACGGCCCAAAGCCTTGGGACCCTGCACCTGCATGGAAAACCCAGAAGAAGCTCTAGGCTCCTGGCTTCGAATCGGCTTCATGTGGCTGTTGTGGCCACTTGGGGAGTGAACCAGTGGATCTTTCTATCTCTCATTCTCTTGGTAAATCTGGCTTTCAAATATAACTCTTTCTTAAAATTTTATTTATTTTTATTGGAAAATCAGATACAAAGAAAGGAGGAGAGACAGAGAGGAAGATCTTCCATCCATTAATGTACTCCCCAAGTGGCCACAATAGCCAGAGCTGAGCCGATGCAAAGCCAGGAGCCAGGAGTCTCCTCCATATCTCCCATGTGAGTGCAGCGTCCCAAGGCTTTAGGCCATCCTTGACTACTTTTCCAGGCCACAAGCAGGGAGCTGGGTGGGAAGCAGAACTGCTGGAATGAGAACTTGTGTCCATATGGGATCCTGGCACGTGCCAGGCAAGGACTTTTGCCATTAGGCTACCATGCCAGAACCCCAATGTAAATCTTAAAAAAAAGAGAGAGAGTAACGTTTTGTTGCACATCAGGCTCTGGTAGCTGCCCCCTGCATCTACCTGTTAAGTGAATCACACGCAGTGATCCCGTGCCTGCAGCCTAGGAAAGGACTCTGCTCCTAAAATCACTTCCCTGCTTCCTGAAACTAGAGCTTCATGGCTATTTCCTTTGAAATTCTCAAGGGGCAGGTGCTTGGCACAGCAGTAAAGGTGCTGCTTGGGAAGCCCCTACAGCCCGGATCAGGATGCTTGGGTCAGATTCTCAGCTCTGCTCCCGATTTCAGCTTCTTGCTAACGCATACCCTGGGAAACCACAAGTCCTGGCACAAGAAGTTGGGTCTCTGCCACCCGCCTGGGAAATGTGGCTTGGATTCCTGCCTCCCGGCTCCAGCCTGGCACAGACGTGTCTGTGTCCGTCATTTAGGGTGTAAACCAGTAAGTATGAAATACCTCGATAGAGAAGTAGACATAGATATTTTTGTCTGACTTTCAATAAGTAAATACATTTTTAATAAACAAAAAGACACCCCGGAATTCAATTTTCCTCCTTTCAAATGATTATAATCCAGAAGTCAGCCCAGCTTTTACCACGCTTGGCTAAATCCTCACCTTGCATGCACCAAGATCCCATATGGGCGCTGGTTCATATGCTGGCTGCTCTACTTCCCATCCAGCTCCCTGCTTGTGGCCTGGGAAAGCAATAACTGACGGTCTAAGGCCTTGGGTCCCTGCACCTGTGTGGGAGACCCAGAAGAAGCTCCAGGCTCTTGGCTTCCGATTGACTCAGCTCTGCCCATTTCAGCTACTTGGGGAATGAGCCAGCAGATGGAAGATTTTTCTGTCTCTCCTTTTCTCTGTAAATCTGACTTTCCAATAGAAATAATCTTTTTTTAAAAAAAAAAAAGCATACAAATGAGAAATACAAAACATCTTAGTATTAGCATCTTTGCTGACTAGCCTAAGTAGTGAACAGAGGGTGAGGCCCCAGGGGCCACCTGTCCTCGGAGTCTGTCTGCCGCAAGCCGAAGAGCAAGCAGGTGCTGGGGAGGCCTGGGGTTGGAGCATGAGAGGCACAGAAGCACACACGTGAGAGAGGCTCTCCTATCACGGTCCTTTCTGGGAGCTTCACCGCCCTCCAGGTTCCAGGTGACGACAGATGAGCATGAACTCACAAGTGGGCAGAAAGGATTGCTTAGGAGGTGGTTGTGGCTTCCAAGCCTGTGGCCCTGAATAACAGTGTAACAGAACAACTAATTTTATCTGAGTTCTGAGATGATGGGGATAATGAGATTTCTGTTCAATAAAAGTATCACAAATAATTTGTACTTTAAAATATTTTGGGTGGGGCCAGGTGGCGTGGTCTAATGGCTAAAGTCCTTGCCTTGAACACGTGGGATCCCATATGGGCGCCAGTTCTAATCCCGACAGATCCACTTCCCATCCAGTCCCCTGCTTGTGGCCTGGGAAAGCAGTCAAAGACAGCCTAAAGCCTTGGGTTCTTGTACCCACATGGGAGATTCAGAGGGAACTCCAGGCTTCTAGCTTCAGATTGGCGCAGCACCAGCTGTTGGGGTCAACTGGGGAGTGAATCATTGGACAGAAGATCCTCCTTTCTGTCTCTCCTCCTCTCTGTATATCTGACTTTGCAATAAAAATAAATCTTTAAAAAAATAAATATTTTGGGTGAACCCAGCATGATAGCCTAGTGGCTAAAGTCCTCGCCTTGCATCTGCTGAGATCCCATACGGGCAAAGTTCTAATCCCAGCTGCCCCACTTCCCATCCAGCTCCCTGCTTGTGGCCTGGGAAAGCAGTTGAGGACAGCCCAAAGCCTTGGAACCCTGTACCCATGTGGGAGACCTAAAAAAGCTCATGGCTCCTGGCTGTTGTGGCCACTGGGGAGTGAACCAGCAGATGGAAGATCTTTCTCTCTGTATCTCCTCTTTAAACATACTATATATATATAGTATGTTTATATGTATAATATATATAATAATAATATATATATGTATTTTTTAGTGGGACAAGCATTGTGACATACAAGTAAAGCCATCAGCTGCAATGCACCCCATATGGGCACGAGTTCAAGTCCCAGCTGTTCTGCTTGCCATCCTCTTCTCTGCTAATATTCCCGGGAAAGCAACAGAAGATAGCCGTGGTGTTTAGGCTCCTGCAGCCACATGGGAGACCCAGATGAAGCTCATGGTTTCCGGTTTTGGATCAGCCTAACTCAAGCCATTGTGGCTATTTGGAAGTGGATGAAAGTTCTGTGTGTATAAATCCTGCCTTTTAAGTCTAATTTTTACCTGTATTGTAAGGTTTTTTTTATTTCCTTATTGGTAGAACTGTTTGCGTGTATTTCCTTGTTTCTGTGGCAAAATATTTGCCCTCTAGAAAGACGAATTCCTACTCTAGTCAAAGACCGGGAAGCTTCTCTCAGCCAAGGACCATTCGGGTATTTATATCATTCACATTCACGGGCCATATAAAATCATCAGTTTAAAAATTAACCTGCTATAGATGTAAGGAGTTCGGAGTCTCAGCTATGGCTGTCTTGGCGGGGCCAGACCAAATGACTGGAAGGGCGTTCTATGGCCTACTGGTTGGACATTCCCACTCTGAGCTAGAAACTGAGGGACATTCAGGAAAGCCAGGAATGTCCGAATACCTTGAGGCATGATTTCCAAGGCAAATCCATGTTTCGCACTACTCATCAGGTTTTTCACCCTTTCAAAGTGTAAATCAAGACAGAACAAGATTTACTCTTCTACTGAGTTTCTCGTGTAATTTTTCCAACGTATTTATAAATGTAGGTCAAATTGGGTCTGGCGCAGTAGCCTAGTAGCTGAAGTCCTAACCTTTCATATGGGCACTAGAGTCCTATATGGGTACCAGTTTGTATCTTGGCTGCTCTACTTCCCTTTCAGCTCCCTGCCTGTGGCCTGGGAAAGCAGTACAGGATGGCCCAATGCTTTGGGATCCTTCACCCGTGTGGGAGACCTGAAAGAAGCTCCTGACTCCTGGCTTCAGATCAGCTCAGCTCTGGCCATTGAGGCCACTTGGGAAGTGAAACAGTAGACAGAGGATATTCCTCTCTGTCTCTCCTCCTTTCTGTATATCTGCCTTTCCAATACAAATTAAGTCTCTTTTTTAAAAAATGTAGAGCAAATATGAACTTGTAATTTTTTGTTATAAATAAAGGTATAAGAAATTTTGCTTTTGAAGATTTATTTGTTTGAAACAGTGCAAAAAGAGGCTTCTGCCATTTGCCATTCATTCCCCAAATGTCTCAAGAAGCCATTGCTGGGCCAGGCTGAAGGCAGGATCCAGGAACTCCATACTGCTTTCCCATATGGGTGGTCAGGAATTGCCCACTGCCTCCTAGGTACACATTAAAGCAATCAGATGGGGCCTGGCGCAGTAGCCTAGGGGCTTAAGTCCTCTCCTTGCATGCACAGGGATCCCATATGGGTCCTGGCTCCCATCCAGCTTCCTACTTGTGGCCTGGGAAGGTAATCGAGGAAAAGTCCAAATCTTGGGCCCCTGCACTTGTGTGGGAGACCCAGAAGAGGCTCCTGACTCCTACCTTCAGATTGGCACAGTCTGGCCTTTGCTTGGACAGGGAATCAACTGATGGAAGATCTTCCTCTCTGTCTCTCTTCCTTTCTGTGTATCTGACTATCCAATAAAAATAAAATCTTTCTTAAAAAAAAAAAAAAAGCAAATGTGTGGAGTAGCTAGGACTTGCATTGATTAGGGTCACGGGCTGCAAGCCACACCTACCTGTGCCCTATGGAATTCTATCCATCCACCTGTCAATCCAGCGTGTCCCTCCCCTGACATGGGAGTGGTCCCATATAACCACTCCCCTGTCCAACCTCAAGGCCCTGCAGAGGGGCCATTCTCCCTTGGGGACTAGAAGAGTGCGGCTCTGAATTACAGCTTTCATTTTTTTTCCTTCCTGCCCACTGCAATCCTCTGCATGGCCCACATGTGTCTGAATAGTTGTATTTGTGCCTGTATTTGTAATTTGTTAATGTGACATTAGATAAATCTAAGAAACTAATTTTACTTTTTAATCTTGTGTCTGCTTTGTCAATTATAGTCAAGTTGAAGACAAAATAGATTTGCTTTAAAAGCCTTCAGAAGTAAAACTTATGTCTACACAAACATATATGCAAATATTCATACCAGCTTTATTTGTAATATCCAAGAACAACTCAAACGCCATTTAATGGGTGAATGGTTAAACAGACTGTGCTACATCTATAACATGGTATACCACTCAGAAATGTAAAGCAACAAACTTCATGCATGCAACAATGGAAGGATCTCAAGAGAATTCTACTGAGTGGAAAAAGCCAATCTCAGAAAGTTACATGTGATATGTTACAGAACATTCTTGAAATGACAAAATAACAAGGAAAACAGATTTGCTGTTTCTGGGTTTGGAGATGGGAGAATGAGAGATATGGAAGGAAAATGGATATTAACCTAAAGGGGTAGAACAAGAACTCACCAAGAAGGAACAATCCCGTTATCTTGATAGGAGCAACAGTTCCACAGATCTACCCCTAAGAGAACTGCGCGCACGCACGCACGCACGCACACACACACACGCACGTAAATGAGTGCATGCCAAGCCAGTGAAGACCTGTGGACTGCCGAGGTGTCAGCTTCCCGGTTTGGATGCTGCAGTGTAGTGTGGGATGCTACCACTGATGACACTGCGAAGAGCACATGCATCACTGTACCACATGTTAGTGCAATGTACATTTCAAAATTCACAAAGCTGGAAGAAACAACACCCTTCAATAGGTCCTTTCCTCTTAAATAGCATCTCTCACAGTTCTCAGTCCAGTCTGAGTTGAGTCGCAAAGCTAACCCCTGGGAGTCTGGAATACTTTGTTAAAGGACATTAAAATTATTTCAGTAATTATTAACTATGAAGGAAACAGAACGTTCTGGGGATTTCATTTTCTCTGTGAAGTGTCCCACCCTTTGTCTGCATCATCTATTCACGGTTCTTCCTCCTCTTCTTGATCTCAATCATTAATTCCTCTAGGGCTTATATTACATGACATGTTTTGCAATGTATCAGTCTATTCTTGGCAATGTGGTATGTGATTTTTAAGTCAAATTCAACCTCCTATTACATGCAGATGTCTTACTATCTCATGCTTTTGTCAAAATGATCCTCCTAAAATTCCACGATTTTAGACTAAGATGCTCCAGCAGTCTTGTTAGTATGGCGTCCAATGTTATTCATATCTCTTCCAGCTGGGCGACTGAGAAAATTCTTCAAGGTAAGTTCTTTACTTTTACTTCACACATATAAACGGTAACATGAGAATGTGTGGAACATACTATGTGCTGTGAGTTCACTGTTGATTTTATTAGTCAGTGAACTTTAATTCCTTAAACACTCCATCCCCTTATGGCTGAAATAGGATACCAGCACCAGCCACCTCTGCCTCCTCCTGCTCCTCTTCAGGGGAAAAAGGGCAGATACTGATAAGAATGCTATCACTTTCTAAATAGAGGAGTTACAGTAGCTGGTTGTTCATGGTTCTCCCTTCCCTTGTCTTGGATCAGTGAATGTTTTAAGACCACCTAGCCCAGCCAGAAGTCATTCTGTAGAAACACTTTCTCAGGCTTAACATCACTGCCTCCCCGGAACTTCTCTTTTGGAATGTCCACACATCCGAAAGTGAAATATTCAAATCATGTCTTTCGCATTTTCCATATCATAAGCTTCTAATAAAATGAGCTCATGTCCTACTGATCTTTAACCTTAATCAATGAGGCTTCCATAACATCAGCTATGGACAATTAAAGCTGTTCAAGGTCAAGTGGAAATGGTCTTTAGACTCACTCAGGTCATTCTCTGCTCACATTTTGAGCCCACAGGCCTGTCTTCATATTTCTTCTATGATATGCTGCTTGTGCCAGTGACATCTCTGTCCTATTCTCTCCACTACATTTGTATAATCTGTTTGATCTGCTTCCTCCTCTCCCACATAGAAAATAATCTATATTGAATAAAGTGACTGAAATTGAGGTCTATTTCAACTTCTTGATTCTCTTCAAATCCCACTCAATGACATATGGATGAGATGATCACATCTCCAAGTTAACGGTTATCCTGGAAGTTTTGTTAAAACCAAAAAATAAGCCATAATATTAATACTAAACAAACAACTTTCAAGGTGGACAAATAATTTTATTTTGTGCATGCAAATACATGTCAAGTACTGCAAACTTTTTCCATCAATTTTCTCTCAAACACTGAAAATCATGATGCTCTATTTTGTGAACAGCCAAAGCTAACATCTCTTCACTTCAGTGCTACAGCAACAACACACAGAATCACTCTTTGCTATTCACTATCATCACAACCCTCATTGTTCCGTCTCTGCCCTCCCCCCATATATAGGCCTTATGAGTCCCAGCCTTCCCCCATTTTAATCCTACTCCTATAGCACAAAGGGAAACATTACAATTTGGAAATTCAAATTGAAATAAATGGAATAGAATTTATTCCCATATATATTCCCCATTTCATTGTACAGAATTATTTTAAATTATAGTTTTAAATAGAAGCTGAGTATATGCCTTAAAAATGAGCATTAAATCCATCTTAGAGATGGTGCCTGCTTTTTACATGATGGGTGTACACCATCTTTAATTTCATTTACATTTCAATCGAACAATAGATTTGCAAAGAAAATGTCTAATACAGACGTAAAAATATTCACACCAGAGCTTCACAATCGGTTGTACAATTGACAAACAGGCCTCTTTTCCCAAACTTTCCAGCTAAGCAAATTTATAAAATGTAGTCAATGCAACAAGAAAAACATTTTTCTTTCACTTCCAGGGAAAAGAATATGCAATAAACAGTATAGATGCAGACAGCAGTTGCTGCAAGCTAACCACGATACTCCCAAGTGGCTGTACAGTGGATATGTGCAGTACAAATAAAAGCCACATGTGTTGTATCACAACTACAGTATAATTGTTTGCCCAGCTAAGAGGATGCATGCACTCCCATGCCTTGGGTTATAAAGTGAGGCCTAATTCCTGACAGGTGGATGGAATATGTGCAAATGACCTTGGCTTTTGGCAGTATTAAGTGCAGCCAGTGTCTGTTTCACTGGTCCGGGGATTTTTTTTTTTCATTTATTTTCAAAAAAAGAAAAAAAAAAAAACGACTGCCAATTTTGGACTTTGGGGGATTAAATGCTCTTGGAGTAAAAATAAGCCTCCACTTGAATGTGGGGTGTTTTCATCTGTGGCATTGACTCCTTGTATCCCCTTGCCAGCAAAGAGATACAAAGAAACCGCTAGTGTAAGGAATCAATTTATCCAGAAAACGGGATACTCTTTGAGCATGTTCGCTTGTGTTCTGCTTGCAGAGGGGTCCTTACGGAGAAGGAATTACAGGAAGTGATCCCATCAACACTCTTCATTCACTAAAGCACAAGGAAAGTTCTTCTAGGAAATGAAATCAAAGTCGCAATACGCCTTATCCTTTTAGTAGCTGGTTACCATTGTTGGTGGCAGTCAGCAGAGTGACTCTGATAGTGAAGGAATACTCAGAATTCAAAGGTGAACTCAGATGCTGAAATCTGATTTTTACAAATTCCACCCCTTTTAACGAGATGATACAGGCTTTATCATTTAAAATGCAAAAGCTAACTAAATGTTAAATGATCTGATCTTAAATTCCTACAAATTGTTTTGCATCTGGAATTTTTCAAGGCAGCATATAAAATTGCAGTGGACTTCACATACTTAGTATCAGCAGGACATCTGAGAGTGAGTGAGTGGGGCCACACGATGGAAAATCTCAGCTCTAGTATGGGAGAGTTCCTTTATTCTCTTACTACACTGAATAGCTAGTAAGAGATAGGGAGAGAGAGAAGGACAAAGAGTGAGTGAGTGAGAGAGAGAGAGAGAAAGAACAGCTCTACAGGCCTAATGAACTACCTTCTCATGAAAAGTAGACTGCACAACGTTCATGAGTCACTGGTTTATCCCATGGCACTAAAACTAAGCCCCGGCAGCAAAGGCTAAGGAGTATGATTTGTGCAGACAGCAACTGGAACAAACAGACGCAACACTGCCAGAAACCATGAACTGAGCCCAGAAAGGGGACTACTGATACTTCATCCACAGTACATGAATGAGGCACATGGACATAAGAAGGGGAAATGGAATTTGGAAAGCAAAAACAAAAGAAGGAAAAAAATGACCACTTCCCTGCTTTCCAGACTCCAGCCTTCCCCCTGCTGAGGCCGCAGGCAGCACACTGGATTAGCAGCATCACTGATTTCTCCCTTGTGGCTTTGCAGCCTTTGATTCCAAACGTGTGCATCACAACGTGTTGAGGAAAGGTGCCAGAGGAGAGAAAACGTTCTCCATTTAAAAAAAGCATGCCCTCAGTGTGACCTAGACCATTTTCCTCTATAACCTCAGCGGCCACCACTCTGATAAAGCGGCTGGAAACCAACGATTTCACTACACATTCCCGCCGTGACAGAGAAGGTGTCTATCTGGAGATGCGGCACAGAATCAATTCCTGTGTTGTCAGTGAGGAAGAGAGTAAGGTTGTAAGAACAAGGAGTTATTTTATGGGATCACCTGCTGCAAGACAAGCACTATTTTAATATTAATGTTTTGAGACATACTAATAAGGCTGGCAGGTATTATACGTACACTGATGCAAATGTAATTTCACTGGACAAGTAGGCAAACACCTAAGCCGTTTATCCCAACCCCCTCCAGCAGAGCACAACCAAGTTTCAAAATTTCAATTTTAAAATTAAAAAGTAAGGTTAAATACACAAGATCAATTTATGTAGTATATATCCACCCTCAGCCCGTGCTGAAGATGTTTGGTGTAGTTCTGTCGCACAGAGGGTTCTTTCCCTGAGGGCACATAAGGAGCTCTCAAACTGTTAATAGGTCTCTATTTTGTAACAAAATAGCAATTTTAAAATCTTAAAAAAAAATACATTACCTTCAACATGGAAGATCTCACTATTAAATATCCATGAAATAGACAGACTGGTTTGCATATCCTTTTGGGAATTACAAACAGCAAATAAAGTACATTGGAAGCATTTCAAATGTAATAAGCACATATTTATAGAAAGGTTCAGATATAAATTATATAACAATCATGTTCCTGTAATATCCTATCTAATTTATAATGTCAGAAATAAGTTAATGTAACATGGTTTAAAACTCTTGTTCTTATTTATCTCAGGTTACAGAGTGAAATAAATAAAATATTTTTGTAGGGTTGAGGAGCACTGGCCATGGCAAAACGGTACAGTACTAACCAAGGAGAACTAAGTCAAGGCTACTGTGCTGTTACACTGCAGACAGACATCTCCGTATGTGTATTAAATAGACGTGTAAGATCTTCCATACTGACACCAGAATATCAAAACTACCCTTTTGTTTCTCAGGTATATTTACAACGTATCAGTCACCTTATGAGCATGTTCATTAAGACAGGTATCAAACACCAGTATTTACTCATTCAGATCAAGAAATTTCAGGGAAATGTCAACCCTCCCACCCCTGGAAATGTGCACAAAACTGTTTATCAAAATCTTATCTGATACAATGCTGTGGTTTTGTAAAACAACTAAATAGCTCAGACGACCAATAACATGATCCTGTTTAAGCATCTTGCTAGCAGGAAAAGCCCTTACATACAGTACACCTGGTGAAAGATCAGCTTGGCTTAAAATATTCCAGTACAATTCTCAGAGTAAACAACTTCACAGAAGTTAATTAAAAATAATAATAAAAGTCAAACTAATCTGAAAGAAATGGAGGAAAAACAAAAGACAAACTATAGGGAAGATCACCAGGAAGGAATGCCCAGCGTTTTGTTTCAAATGCTGACTGAAATTTAGATTTCAATAAAATATCTCCCACAAATCTGAGGAATGGCTCGCTAAATATCCTGCATACTTTCCGCTGTCAAGTCAAAACTACTTCAGTCACATTTTAGCAAGGCAGAAATTATTCATGTTTAGTATGAATAAATGCTAGCCAATGTTCTACTATTACATGGTTCATAGTCTTATCAACCTAATAGCAAAAAAAAAAAAAAAAAAAAAGGAAAAATTAAACCCCAACATGAAGTAGCACTAAAAAATATTTAACCAAGATAATGCAATGAACACCCAAATTAATTAGTTTAACTTAAAAACCCAGCAATCCCATCTCATTAGTCAGTGCAAACGCTACAGACAGGGTTTTCTCAAGAGAGCTCAAAGCACCGGATTCTTTTGCCAAGTCATCAGATTCAATAATGTACAGGCTTAAATCTGCATTTTAAAAATCTGCCATTACATTAGTGCATAATTTATCAAAATTGTAAAAACGATTCTGCATAACTTAGGAGAATTTAATATCTAGTACATCAGCTGAAAGACTTAGGCACTTGGTTATATTTTTAATTAATTACTTCAACAAGTAGCCTGCGTATAAATATCAACAAAGCAGAAACTATTCTTGAAAAATGGAAAATTAAAAAAAAATTCCAATGCTACAGATAAAAGCACTGCACCACACTCCTACATACAATGCAGTAAAGAAAGCTAGTATATAACCCTGTAAAATTCTATGGTAAGAATGCCTAACTCCACTCTTCAAATAAAAAATGAAAAAAAAAATCCATGCAAAGTCCCATGAAAAAGATAAATAAAGCAGCTGGAATGAGATGGAAATTTCTCAGTGAAACATAAAATAGAAATAAATAAGTTAATTAAGTCTACTTTCACTAGATGTATCATTGTAGGATCCTGCTAGTTTAATAACTGAGTTGTTAATTTTCTATAGAAGCCATTTAAAATAGGAAATGGCTCAGTTACTGCACCGGATTGCTACAAACTCATAAAAAGCTGCTTGAAGCTTAAGTTAAATGTTGTCCAAATTCCAATCATTTCTGGAAAGTGAACGTGTTACCCTAGCAAAGTAAATTTTCTTTTTTTTTTTTTCCATAATGCTAATGCAAGAGGGCTCGAAGTATCAAAGAGTCCACAGGAAATGGATGCCCCCAGTAATATCTTTTTTTTAAAAAAAATATACATTATATAATATATATTATATATATAAAAAGCTAGTGTAAATGCTTCCATGATGTGGTCACAGATTTAAAAGATGAACTTCCTCTCAGCTGTTAACCATCTTCCCATTTGCAACAGGTTTTAAAAAGTCGGCTGTATCTTCAGACATCACATGAGTTTTCAGAATGAGATTACCCACACTGACGGATGTGGTGCTGGGCAGGCAGCCTGCACTGCTGACGGACACTGGGAGTGGCTGGCTAAAGCAAGACGTTACTGGCAGAATTGTTTTTTGCTCCTCCCTGACAGAAAATAAATGACATGGAAAACAAATTAGCTTTAAGTGAAGACTTTAATGTTTAAAGTAACAAGTCCCATTTTTCAAAAGTAAAAAAATTTTAAAAATTAAACTACACTTCATCTATGGCCTTACAAACTATCAAGTTCAAGAATAAGTTCGTCATTTCTACAAATGTCAATGAAATAACTAAGAGAAACCTTAATATGATGTTTAAAAAAGAGACACAATCTGGGTTTGAATTCTCCGTTCTGTAGTCTCAAGGTTTGGCTGTCACACTAAAAAAGTGCATGTGAAGCCCAAGTACAAACCCTAATCCCAGGAAGAGCAAGTTTCTGCCTACCAAATTGAGTCACTATTTTAGTTCAAATTATCTCTTTACTAAAATCATTGCCCTGACTGTTATCATTACATAAATGTCTTCCCCTCATAACAAAAGAGCTAATAAGAACTTAATACAACATTTAGGGCCTGGAGTGATGGCTAAGAGGCTAAATCCTAGCCTTGCATGCACCAAGATCCAAAACAGACGTTCATGTCCCAGCTGCTCCCATCCAGCTCCCTGCCTGTGGGCTGGGAAGCAGCTGAGGATAGTTAGTGCCTTGGGATATAGCAACCACGTAGCAGACCTGCTCAGTTCCAGCTACTGTGGCCACGTGGAGAGTGAACCAGCAGATGGATCTTTTCATCTGTAAATCTTCCTTTCCAATAAAAATAATAGATAAATTAAGAAAAAAAAAAAACGAAAACAAAAGCGGGGGTGCCTAGCACAGTACCCTAGTGGCTAAAGTCCTTGCCTTGCATGCACTGAGATCCCATATGGGTACTGGTTGGTTTCCTGGCTGCTCTGCTTCCCACCCAGCTCCCTGCTTGTGGCCTGGGAAAGCAGTCGAGGACGGCCCAAAGCCTTGGGACCCTGCGCCCATGCGGGAGACTCGGAAGAAGCTCCTGGCTCCAGATCAACTGAGCTGTGGTCACTAAGGCCACTTGGTGAATGAACCAGTGGATGGAAGATCTTTCTGTCTGTCTGTCTCTCTGTATATCTGACTTTCCGATAAAAAATAAATAAATCTTATAAAAATAAATTTTTTTTAAAGTGCTTAAGTGTGTGCTCAAAAGAGAAAGTGCCTATTTAAAAAAATAATGAAAATAACAAAACAAAACAAGAACCAATCAACCCACACAGCATCCATTTTTCTTGAGACACCCCTGACCTCTGCTTGCTGGTCTGAGTTTTGCATCTAACACTCACAGAATCACAGGGTCTTCACCTAAACTCTGTCTCTTCTGCTTCAGGGACTCCTTCTGGTGCTGTTGTGCTGGATGTCCGTTTTCCACTGCTGTTCCATTCAACAACTGATCATTCTGAGAACTAATACCAAGTTGCATGTCCAAGATCTCCTAAGAAAATAAAATATTAATTATTCAGTATGGAACTATTTACTTTTAATTTCCAATGGAATTAAGCCTTATACCTCCTGATTATCTAACTGTAGTACTTACTTCAATTTGTTCACTCTGTCCATCTGGTTCATCAGTGTCAAGTGCTGAAAGCTCTAGTTCAATATCCCTGTCGGGTTTAGTATCTGTTGTGTCCTCGGTATAATCACTCTGTAAGAAAAAGATTGATATGATACAAACCAAACCTGTAATTTCCTTTGAAGTTAAAACTGGAATACCAATAATTTAACTAAATAATTATTTAGGAGGGAACCAGTTCTATAATACAGCACATTAACCTGCTACCTGCAAAGCCAACATTTCCTATGAGCGGCAGTTTGGGTCCCAGTTGCTCTTCTTTCAACCCAGCACCCTGCAAATGGCCTGGGAAAAGCAACAGAGAATTCTTGGGTCTCTGCCACTCACACAGGAGACCCAGATGGAATTCTAGTCTCTTGGCTGCAGCTTTGCCAAGCCCCAGCCACTGTAGCCATTTGAGGAGTGAACCAGCAGATGAGTATCTCTCTTTCTTTAACTATAAATAAATAAATATTTTAATTTGTTTTTTAAAAAGCATAAAGTGCATTATCCATGAACTTAAAAAACCCACCTGAACCTTTCACATGGATGGTTGAGGCCCAAGTACTTGGGCCATCACCCACTGGCTTTCAAAGCACATTAACAGAAAGATGGGTTTGAAGAAAAGTGGCTGAGACTCAAACTGGTCCTCTCAAATAGGAAGCTGGTATGGCAAGTTGCAGGTTTAACCCACTGCACCACAAGGCCATCCCCATATAACATTATTTTTACCATTTTAAAAGATGTCAATCATTTATCAGAAAAAGGCATGGTAAGATGGAGCTGGTAACGATACAAACCAAGATATAGCAGCAGAAAACAAACGCATTATGTAAGAAGCTAGAGGTTAAAAATTTGTTAAATTTGTATAAGGGGAACAAATCTTATGTATTTCATATATAGCTTAATAAAACTTCTCATCCTACCCTATCTTGTGACCACCCTTCTTCCATTCTTATTTTACTTCTCATTTTTACAATGACATTTTCAATTTATCTTATAATCACAAGCTTAACCCTCTACTAAATAAAGAATTCTACAAGTAGTAATTAGAAAAACCACTGCTAAGAGTTTCAATTCCTATACCTCTCCATTTCTCAGTTCAATTTCCTTGCTTAGAAGGTTTAATGTAAGGTGACGGCCTTCATCCAGGGAGTTCCACTTCTGTTGCATGGCCAGAGCATTAGCCTCCCTCTGAAGAAGTAATGAATTACTCTTGGCCTGTAGGAAAAGAGAAGAAAATAAAGCCAGCTTCCAACTGTCCTTTTGAACCGTGATTCTATTTTAAAAAGTTCGAACTTGTGTCACACAGAGCCTACCTGCTGAAGTTCCAGGCTCAGGAGGTCTCCAGTGCTGGAATGCTTTCTGTGACTAGATAAATCAGCAACAATGAATCTGTCCCTTTAAAGAAAAATATGTTTATCGAAATAAGTGGAATGAATGGAGAAACTACAGCAGGTAACAGACTATCTGCAAGTTTCTGTCATCACTCCAAATGTAAAACAACTCCCCCCACCCCACAAATTTGGTATAAAACTCGCATTACAAAGCACATTTCAAGAACAATTCAGGTTGGCTGTGCATTTGGAGGATACATACATACAAGCCTGGGACTAGGGAGCCCTAGCAACAGCAGTCTTACCGTTCAACATGGTGCACTGACGACGTGGTCTCACTGCTGCACGAACTCCACCTTGAATCAACAGCATTGACGTAAGGGACATAATCTGCAGAAATGCAGAGAAAAAGTAATCAGAAAAGTACAACATCAGTACACTTATATGACTGCATACTTTTGTATTTTATACTAGTCATGCAATCCTAGTTAATCATCTCACTGCACTGACTATGATTGCTAAACAGCGAATTATTTCTAACAGGCTGCGGATTAAAAGGCAGTGCCTTGGGCAGGTGTTTAACCTAGTAGTTAAGAAGTCCACATCTCATGTTAGAGTACCAGTTTCAACACCCAGCTCGATCTCCTGACTCCAACTTTCTGCTACTGTAGACACTGGGAGGCAGCAGGTGATGGCTCCGGTGAGTGAGTCCCTACCACCTATGTATAATGCTTGACCCAGCTTGGCCAACCCAGCCCTAACCACTGTGGGCATGCAGAAGGTTAAAAGAGCAGATGAGAGCAGGCCCTCTCGCTCATTCCCTCTTAACATTTCAGGATAAGTATGAGATACCTGATACACTGATGGGCTTAGTTGCACTTCCTTGGGAAGCAGTAGCCTGGACAGGATCTGTGGTATGGTAACCTGTACGGGAGGATCTGGAAATTGCACCCCATTTTGAAATAATGGGTCCATCACTAAAAGGAATTATTGGGTCTTCTTCTTTTGTCCTTCTCTGAGTTTCAAATAAATGTACTCTCCTCTTAACATCCCCACTGTCCAGGTCCTGGAAAACAAAAACACAATAAAAGGATTCTTAGTAATTTCTTTAGGTGGCAATATGAGTGAGGGTACTTACAAAAAAAGTTCACACAGTGAATCTAGTGATTAAAATGCTCTATCCCACACTGGAGTACCTGGGTTCGAGACCCATATCCTGACTCTGACTTAAAGCAAATTCAGAAAAGACCAATCAAGTAATTGGGTCCCTGCTAACCACATGGAAGACCTAGATGGGGTTCCCAGCTTCAACCAGTTTGTGAACATTTGAGGTGTGAGCCAGTGGGTGCATACTCTCTCTGCTTCTCAAACAAAATACTTACAAACTTTTAAAACATTATAGAAAATGGAAATAAAAGATAAGCTTATTTTAATACAAAGTAGCTGAACTCCACTTTCATGAACGTTCTGAAGTAGCCTTGAACATGTTACCCAAGACATGCAATAAGACTTCCCTGATAAACCTGCTCAAAATTTCAATGATAATGAAGCAACTATTTTAAACCACCAAATAATTACAATATTAACTTCAATTTGCTTCAGACTTATCTAACATAAAGATGAGATTTACTAACAATACAAAAATGACAGCTTTCATTCTAAAACTGGCAGGGGCAGGCACCTTGGGGTTAAGCCCTGCTGGGGATGCCTGTACCCACACAGGAATGCCAGTTCAAGTCCTGGCTGCTCTGCTGACAACCCAGCTTCCTGCTGACACACTGTGCAGAGGCAGTAGACGATGGCCCAAGAGCTTGGGGTCCGGCCACACACATGGGAGAATCTGGATGGAATTCCTAGTTTCTAGTTTTGGCCTGCCCCAACAGGCTGTCACCGAAATTTGGGGAGTGATCCAACTAATGAAGATCTCTCTCTCTTTTTCTGTCACTCTGTCTTTAAGATAAATAAAGCTTAAAAACAACCAACCAGACAAATATGGCCCACTTTAAAAGGAAAAAAATAGGCAGATAGGGAAAAAACCAAAACCAAAACCATGCATTACAGCCAGTGCCCATCTGCCCCCCGCCAGCAAGCTCCCTCACCCCAGCAAAAATCATACCATTAACACAGCATTTGAATTAGCAATGACATCTTTGGGTTCTGAATCAATAGCATTTATACAGGAGCCTATGGTGCCACAAGACCAGGGAGAATAATGGGAAAGATGATCGTCTTCAAATTTTGTACCACTCACACTCTCAGAGAACTAATTAAAAAAAAAAAAAGCCAGTTAGTACTAAAGGAAAATTTATAAGCTTATAACTAATATAAACTATCATAGAATTTGGTAGATTTCAATAATTTATATATAAAAAATTGTGAGAAGTAATAAAGAGTAATTATATAATGAAAATAATTTTTTTTTGTTTTTTGTTTCATAAGGAACTTCTGATTTCTACTATTTACAGCTTACTGCTAACATGGTATTGGAAGCTTAGACAAAGTGAACAAAGCAGAGAAAGCCAATACAGAGATATACAGACACCAGTATCATGGACCCTGTGCTGATTTTCTTGAGAAAAGAGCAACGTGTGTAAATAAGTAAACCTAACTAATAACCCAGGAGTGTTACAGAAAGAACAAAAGTAAGGCAAAGAACACTCTGAAGCTAGAAAGGAGAGTAAGCTGACTGTGAAGAGATGCTGCGTAGCAGATCATAATACAAACGTTGGGCTGACTATACAGGTAGGGACACACAAAGCTCAAGTGTTGAACAATTTGTTCCAAATCATATTGCCAGATGAGAGCAGATCTGATTCTCAGGGAAACACTTATTATTATTTTTTGGGGAAACATTCGTTTCTGAAAGCATAGCATATGTAATTCATGAGAATCAGTTCCTGCCAAGCCACTGCCACCTTCATCACTCTGCTGCTGTTTACCTGCTTTGAAGAACTCTAGAATTAATGAGATGAAATGTAGATCTAGTTTAAAATTCAATGAGTTATTAAAATATGTATGGACAAAACAATAAGAATCCTGGAATTACACAGAAATCATCTTGTCTGAAGAGGGGGTACAAAGGAGACAAGACTAGCTGAACTGACAGTTACGGAAGCTGGCTGATATGTACATGAAGTCTGTTGTATTATTTTGTTCTACATATGTGTATCTTTGAAATCTTTTATAATGAAAAGAATTCTAAAAAGTGAGGTTCAGGGTTGTAGCATGGGTTAAGTCACTGCTTGCGACACATCCAAGCTGCGAATGTTAGTGCAAATACTTGGGCCCGGAGCGCAGTTCCAGGCTCTTTCTTTTGGACTTACTAGGACATGTGGCCAGCTGGGAAAGATATCAGTAGATGGAAGATATTGCCCTCTCTCTGCCTTTCCCCTGCTCCCACTCTATCTTTCTCCCATCCTTTCTCCCTATTACTTTCCTTTTTAAATAGAAAACGTTCACCAGTTTTTTTTTTTTTTTAAATACTATAGCCTCTGTGGTGGAGAATAAATCAGAATTTTTTTTTAATTAAAAATTTTCTCTAAACATAACAGCAATAAAATTAATAGCTTAAACAGAAATCATCCTGGTACAAAAAAAATCTGTTCTGTAACGCCAAAAATAATTACCAGTGATGTAAATAAAAATAATAGAGTAGGGGCCCGGGGTGGTGGCCTAGTGCCTAAGTCCTTACCTTGCTCGTGTCAGGATCCCATATGGGCACCGGTTCTAATCCTGGCAGCCCCACTTCCCATCCAGCTCTCTGCTTGTGGCCTGGGAAAGCAGTTGAGAATGGCCCAAAACCTTGGCAACCTGCACCCGTGTGGGAGACTAGGAGGCTCCTGGCTTTGGATTGGTTCAGCCCCGGCCCTTGTAGCGGCTTGGGGAGTGAACCAATAGATGGAATATCTTTCTCTCTGTCTCCCTCCTCTCTTTATTCTGCCTTTCCAATAAAAATAAGTAAATCTTTAAAAATAATAATACAGTAGGTATTTTTGTACGTCTTGTGACATAGGGAAGAAATGCCTCAAGCTAGGATTAGGATTCAAGTCCCAGGTTCTTAACAGGTCGAAAGATTTTGAGCAAATTAATTAACTTCCCTAGGTAGGATTCCTATTGTATATAATATGGATAATACCTGCCTCTTAAGTTTTTTTGTGAGAATTAAATAAAATAGCATTATGTAAATGCTTAATATACTGTCTTGCATTAATATGTGCTCAATAAATGATATTTAGTTCTAAATTTTATTAATAAAAATGTTAAAAATAGCTATAACACTGTAAAAGTTTTGAATTCTTCACAAAGGACTATGCCTTTCAGTCTTCCGAGTTTCAACAACACCTAACCCATGAGTGTTGTTGGCTCATACACTCAATACTTGTTGAACTAAACTCAACTGCACACCAAAGTACGGCAGACATCCAGAACAGTTCCCCTCATCTCAACGAATGGCTGTTTGACCTAGCCCTGCAACACCGAGAGATGAAAACCTTTCTTACATCCGTGCGAAAGTCTACACTGAATAGAGGAGAAGGTGGTGTTGGAGACTGTGTTGCCACAGGAAGAGTTGAAGAGACAGGAGCTTTCTGAGTGTGGTACTGTGCCCACTGATCTGGCTTTCTTCTGATCTGCTCTTCGCAACTAGTCTTCAAATGACCACAAGGTTCCTAAGGGGGATAAGAGAAACAATCTTAAGCACCTAGGGAGTGGTGATTAAATTTAACTGTGCTCTATGAAATTAATGTAAACAGTTTATGAAATTGCTGGGAAAAAAATAAAATACAGCTGGGAAGTCACCCTGCTCTATTCTCAACACACCTGAACAAAAAAGTGGATGTTTATTCAATTGATGTTAAGAGTAAAACCAGAACACTGAACTTTAAAGGTTTAGGAAAGTCACGTGTATATAGGAGATACAGAAAAAGGGTCCTTTGTGTTTGTATTTTTCTTTTCCCCTTCTCATCAGTTCCCTATTCAAATATAGCATTTATTGAGCATGATCAGACCAATTCTAAGAGCTTTATTTTTCTGAGTTAATTCTCACAAAAGTCTTGAGGTAGGTACTACCATCATTTCCATTAAATAGCTGTCAAAGCCTATGCATAGGGAAGTTAAGTACCCTCAGATAAGTCAATCCGTGGAGAAGTCAGGACACGGACTGCTGGGCGGTTTGACTTCAAACACAGAGGCACTTGCGTCACCACTCACCCTTGGTAAAGGCACAGTTGTCCTCGGCTCACTTGGTGGCTGACAAGCCACTGAGTAATAGCTATCCAATGAGTTATATCTTTCTCGCAAAGATGTCTGATAGACAGATGAGTGCATCACATCCATCGGAGGTAAAGAATTGCTTCTGATAATGTCATCTCGTTGGTACATAGGTGGGCGCCAGATGCGCCTGCTGTCATATACAGGAGCATACATTCCAGAAGGTACTGGAGGAACTGGTCCATACGGCTGCGGAGGAGGAGGTTGGTAAGGAGAAGAATTCATTCGATCTCGAGGGGAAAATGTACTGTAATGATCAGCATATGGCATGGAAGCAGGTGGGAGGGAGGATTCTGGAACATTATTGGACCTCACAAAGCGAGGAACACAGGGAGCCACACCAGCTGGTACCGTTGGAGGTGGTGGGTAGTATCCTTGAAAATTGGAAAGAGGAATATTTAATGTAATCTTAGTAAAATCCAACATTTAAGTCTAAAGCAGCTTTCAATGTGGGAAAATACAAGCTTTGAACTTTAACTTACCCTGGCTTATAAAGAAGCTAATATTTTCAAGATATCACTATAAGAAAATCATTGATGTTCAATGCTCTGTTAAACAGTTCCTTATTAACAGACTTCCCTCCAGAGTACCTGTTGCCACAGGTTCTGGATGGTCAGCAGTTACATCACTGATTTTTGGTGTGAAGCAAGAGATTCAAGAACCCTTCCAAACATATTCAAGGTTTTCATTTCCTTCTCCAAACTGTACTTAAGTAAATGGCCAACACATTTTGCAAACCATTTTAGGGCATGGACAGAGCACTCAGCAGCTCGTCCACACGCTGTTTCTGACTCACAGACCCACTAGTAACAACAATCACTGACCTCCAGACTCACAGACTTGGACAGCGACCTGTAGCGTCTTACAGTCCAAGGCGTAAACTATTTGCATGTAGATATGCTAGACACAATGTAAGTGGTTCACTCGTTTTAAGGAAAACAACGTATAGATTCAGACCCATCCTCGGAAATGCCTGAAATGACTCACCTGTCTGTGGGTACTGTGGGACTTCAAAGGGAATCTGAGTTCTTGGATCTTGAAAATACTGAATGTTTTCAGAATGCTGAGGATACACTGGTACTCTCGTTAGAAATGCACTGGATTTGGGGGGCACGGAACTCAGTTCTGTTCCAACATTAGAGGGCCCAGCTGAGGTAGCAGCCACATGACTTACAGGAGTCTTGGGTGGAGAACCAATTTTACTGGAGAGAAAATTTAACAGAAGAGCAAAGGTTAAATCAATGCCTTCGAGTACTGTCTTTCTCAACACACAGTAGTCATGGGTATGAAAAACTCTTAAGACAATAGCAAAAAAACACGATGACGAACCGGTGAAATCACTGATAGAAAATGTTTACCTGCATAATGACAAATAAGGCAATGACTTTTACTGCCACTGTGCAATGCAAATACCTCAGACCATAGTAACATGTCATTTGGGGAGGGATAAAAGAAATAACAAATGGCAGGTGCCAATGTGACTGATGAAGCCTAGTTTAATCATTCTTCAAAGATTGTTCCTACTACATGTTTCCAACAGAAACAATAGGCTGCCACAAGAATTTTGGAGACAAAAGCACATCTTGCAGAAAAGCTGTTTTCTAGTAAGAGTTAGATTAGCTAGTAGGCACTTAAGCCTACTGGGTCCAATGCTCACGTCCCACAGGAGACTGCGGGAGTTTGATTCCTATCTATAAATCTTAATCCCAGCTTTGCGTCAGTGCTGACCTGGGGAGGTGCTGGTTTGATGGTCATGTGACTGGGTTCCTGCTTCCCATGGGGGAGACCTGTACTGTATTCCTGGCTCTTGGCCCTGGCACCTGCCCAGTGCTGTGGGTATTTAGGAAGTAAATTAACAGATGAGCACTCTATTGTAAATACATAAATAACTTCTAAAAAAAGAGCAATAAAAATAAATAAACCTTCACAAAAAAAAGTTCACATTTCTTTGCTAAGACTCTTCAAAAGCTCATTCTCTGATATAGATACCCCAAGGCTTCTCTCGTTTATACATGTCATCTTACTGTATACTAGTCCTTCACATGAACCTTCACTTCTAAAAGGCTGCTACCAACATTTCGGAGAATTGCTAACACATTTAATCCATGTCATGCTGTTTCCTCCTCTTTAATCCAACTCCAGCACTGCTTCATGTTTATAAATGCTTTCTCAACAACTGTATCATCCTGAATCCCTCCTAGGCAGATATCTCTCATGTACTTCCGGCAATACCAAAATCAGAGCCCACAATGGCATCCAGACATGTGACACCTAGGTCACATCTTCTAGAGTTCTTACTCTAGACTGCAGCTTCTAACAGTCTCAAATGCCACTCAGTTTCCTTTAGTAAACAAATTCCTGGGTCACACACAGAACTGCAGAATTTGAGAATATTACTGCACATCTACACACAAAATCAGCAGCAGAATAATGCTTTTTCCTCATGGGAGGAGTATGTAAGACAAGTTAGTGGACAACAGCAGCAGAACATGCTTCAATTCAGATTTTAAATCCCAAGTACCAGAGCATGAGATGTCAGCATTTCAGACCATCTGAAGGTATTAAGGATTTCTTTTGCAGGAAACAAAACCCTTTGCCAAATTAAATCTTGTTGATATGTAACTATAACAACAGTGGCAACAATACTGTTAATGCAGCATGTGTTTATTCAGAGTTTACTTTCTGATAGATATTGCTTACAAGATGTTGTAGTATTAGCACCTATAGTTCATACAAGCAACACATGAAGTTGGTATTTCTGTAATTTTATTTTTATAAATATATGACCCGCAAAGTAACTAGCGTATAACCAAACAGCAAGGCAAGATTGAGCCAGAATTGGAATTCAAAGAGTTTGTCTCTACCCAGCTTCTGATCCTGCTCCCTGGTAAGGCACCTGGGAAAGCAGAGGTACAATGCCTAGTACTTGGGCTACTTTCCACCCAGTGGAAAACCTGGAGATCCAGGTGGTTTCAGGATCCTGGCTCTGGCCTGGCCTAGACCTAGTCACTGTGGCTATTTGGGCTTATTCCAGCCCAAGGCACTGATACCATTTGGGGAGTGAAACTGTCTTTCCAGTAAATTAATGATCCTTTGAAAAAAATAGGCAGTTTTAGAAACAAGCTTCTCCTGTAACTGCCATAATTACAGTGTATAAAATACAAGTAATCTGACTGAAATAGGGTTATATCAGCATTCATTCATGTAAGTTTCTTCAGTTCCTTTCTAGTCCCACTCTGGAATAACAAAAACCAGTGACGGAGCCCAAATCTGGCATACAAGTTGAACCACAGCTTGAAGCACTAGCACGTCACCACAGGGCATCAGCTCGAGCCCAGCCTGGCCTACTGCAGCTTCCTACTAATGTGCGTCTTGGGAGGTGACAGGTAACAACTCAAGTACTCGGGGCCCTGGAAGAGACCCAAATTAGGCTCTGCCCTTAGGCCTAGCCAGGCCTGGCTGTGCATACACTTGGGGAGTTAACCAGCAACCGGAACATCTCTGTCTTTCTGCCTTTCAAGTACATAAATACAAATTATTTTAAAAAGTTGTTTTAGAGCCCAGACCAGTAGCCTAGTAGCTAAATCCTTGACTTGTACGTGTAAGGATCCCATATGTGCGCTGGTTTGTATGCTGGGAATTCCATTTCCTATCCAGCTCCCTGCGCAGTTTGTATCCTGGCTGCTCCGCTTCCCATCAGCTCCCTGCTTGTGGTCTGGAAAAGCAAGTAGGATGGCCCAAACCTTGGGACCCTGCACCCATGTAGGAGACCCAGCAGAAGCGTCAGGCTCCCAAGTTTAGATCGGCTCAGCTTGAGTCACTGCATGTGGCCACTTGGGGAATGAACCAACAGAAGAAAGATCTTTCTGTCTCTGCCTCTCTGTAACTCTTCTCTTCCAATAAAAATTTTAAAATATTAAAAAAAAAAAAGTTGTTTTAGAAGGCCAGTGTGAAGAAATGCCAGGTGCCAGCGCTGCAGTGTGGCTGCTCATGACAATTTGATGAGTGGATCCTGGACAAGTCACATTTTTTTTTTTTTAAGATTTGTCTGTTTGAAAGACTTACAGAAAGAGGGAGAGAAACACAGAGAGAAAGAAATCGACATCTGCTGGTTCATTCCCCAAAGGGCTGCAACAAAAAAACAATATTAGATATTGATGTCAGCAGCAGCTTAATCTACAGTGCCAACACACTTAGCCCTTCCTAACCCAAGCTAGTCCACTTCTGCCCCAGCTCCCTGCTAATGCACCTGAGGAAGGCGGCAGAAGATGGCCCAAGAACTTAGGTATCCATGTGGGAAACACGGACGGAGCTTCTGGTCCTCGGCTTGGGCCCGGCCCAGCTCCGGCTGGTATGGCCTTTTGCGGAGTGAATCAGTGACTAGAAAAATCCAGTTCAACAACCCCATCATTTGTTCTTGTTTGTTTGTTTCATATAAATAAAAAAATCTTTAAAAAAAAAAGCAAAGGAATCAAAGGGATGTAAAGGGCTCAGTACAGTAGTGTTGCGTCTAAAATCCTTGGCTTGTGTGCCAGAATCCCATGTGGGTGCTGGTTTGTGTCCTGGCTGCTCCACTTCCCGTCCAGCTCCCTGTTGTGGCCCAGGAAAGCAGTCGAGGACGGCCCAAAGCCTTGGGACCCTGCACCCGCGTGGGAGACCTGGAAGAGACTCCAGGCTCCTGGCTTCGGATCCACACAGCTCCAGCCGTTGCAGCTGCTTAGGGAGTGAATTAATGGATGGAAGATCTTCCTCTCTGTTTATCTGACTTTCCAATAAAAAAAGGGGGGGGGGGAGGTGTGGGATATAAAAATTCTGGTCCAATTTCTTCAGGACATAGTTGAGGAATACAAAACTCAGAATTGAGGTGACTTTCCAAGTTCACAGAGCCACTTGATTATAAAGACAGGACTAGAACTCAAATCATGTCATTTAGTGCTAGCTCTATTAGTGAAAAATTCTGCATAGAACTTGTGATTGAGAGGCAGACATTTGGCCTACTGATGAAGACTGGCACACAGGAGCACCTGGGCTCCATCCCCAGCACTAAGGGTGCTGGCTCCATGGTGGCACAGCCCCTGGCAGGCAGCTGTGAGGCTAATTAGTTAGCCACTTGTACTTGATACCTACTTTTCAGTTACAGACTCTGCAGCGGGCCCCGCAGCATTCTGACCATTGGTGCCAACCTTTCCCACTTTCTTCACAGTTTCCAGAGTTCTTAGCGTATTGTCGGTACTACGTGGGATCAGCTGGGAAGCACTGTTTTCTGCACTTGAAATTCCATTTGAACTTGGAACAATTTTCCCCGTTGTTTCAGTACTTCCTATGACAGAAATGACATTTCCGGCTGTGGTTGTAACCGTGTTGTTTACACCAACTTTATTTAGAAGAGGAAATGTTCTTACAGTCGCATTGATCTTTTTATTCCTTAATCGATACCTATTTGAAAGAAAAACACCAAATTGGTAAACACTATATTAAGGCTTACTCTGAAGAAATAATGACAACACATTAACAAAGGAAGAAATCAGCTTTGTGTAAAAGTTTCCTCAGGTAAATATCACATACAATTTGTAGCAAATTCTGTAATAGCAGATAAATATATACAAATCATTCACATTATATACATGTATATATTGGTACAGAATTAAAAATAGCAAACAAACATACATATATATTCAAAGAAGCCTTTTAAGGAAGAAAGAGACCATCTGAAAATTTTATGTAACTTGGCTAATTACCTTGCAGAAAACTGGCAAAAATCCAAACCAAATTTGGTTAACACATAATGAAGAGATAACTGAAAACATTCTCTTACTACTAAATTATTTATGCATTATAATTTAAAAAATTAAAAACCAAAATCAAATTATCACACACCAGAACAAATTCTGTGTTGAATTTTTAAAAAATGTATTTGGATAAAAGATTTTCCCAATAATAAGTTCTAAATTTTATTTATGGTGATTTGATGCAACACATAATACACCAGGGAATTTCATCTTGGGCTCCAATGTAAGAAAATCCATCTCTACTTATATATTAAAAAATCATTATTGCAGTCCTAGGTTTTGTTCCTTACAACATTCCCTCTAATACTTTAAGTGATGAAAATTAAGTTCCATGAACAGAAATAACACAAATACATTTGCAGATTAATTTAAATTACTATTATAGTAACTAAATATAAACAGTGTTGGTGACAATGTCTTCATAACAGCTCCTTGTTTAGTATTTTAGTCTATAAACAGCCTCATTATTTAATCCTTTCCTTTCAGAAAATGACAGGAAAAGGTAAAGCTCAATAAAAGGCATGTGCTTCCAGAATGACTTGCTGCAGGTGGAGTTAATATATGCAGTCATATGTAAGATGAAGTAACACACAAAGTCATGTATATTACAAAGAAAAAGCTCGGGCTTGGCACGGTATGTGCCCCAGTTCTAATCCTGGCAGCTCTGCTTTCCATCCATCTCTCTCCTTGTGGCCTGGGAAAGAAGTTGAAGACAGCCCAAAGCCTTGGGACCCTGCACCCGTGTGGGAGACCTGAAAGAGGCTCCTGGTTCCTGGCTTCGGATTAGCACAGTTCTGCTCCTTGCGACTGCTTGGGAGTGAATCATTGGAGGGAAGATCTTCCTCTCTGTCTCTCCTCCTCTCTGTATATCTGACTTTGCAATAAAATCAATCGTTAAAGAAAAAGGTCACAAACATGTTGTGGCCAGCTTACGTACCACATTACAGATACCAGAGGAAACAAAGAAAGAGAAGCATAAACAGGTGGATAATTTAAAAACGCAATTTAATGAGAAAAAGGCCCAAAATTCCTAAACTTTCCATAATATGCTCTCTGAAATTTACTGTTCATTTTTTCTATCACAGTTTTTTACACAAGGTGCTCACCTGCTTGATTCCTTCTTTTTTTTTTTTAAGATTTATTTATTTATTTATTGGAAAGGCAGAGAGGAGGAGACACAAAGAAAAAGAACTTCCATCTGATGATGCACTCCCCAGGTGACCACAATGACCGGTGCTGCACCAATGCCTAGCCAGGAGCCAGGAACTTCCTCCAGGGTTCCCAAGTGGGTGCAGGGTCCCAAGGTTTGGGCCGTCCTTGACTGCTTTCCCAGGCCACAAGCAGGGAGCTGGATGGGAAGTGGATCTGTCGGGATTAGAACCGGCGCCCATATGGGATTCTGGCACATTCAAGGCGAGGACCTTAACCACTAAGCTATCAGGCCAGGCCCTTGATTCCCATTCATTTTTTTTTTAAAGATTTATTTTTATTATTTTTTTTTATTGGAAAGGCGGATATACAGAGAGGAAAGACAGAGAGGAAGATCTTCTGTCTGATGATTCACTCCCCAAGTGAGCGCAACGGCCGATGCTATGCCGGTCCGAAGCCAGGAGCCTCTTCTAGGTCTCCCGTGCGGGTGCAGGGTCCCAAAGTTTTGGGCTGTCCTCGCACCGGGACCGATTCCCATTCTTAAATGACAAATCTCAAATATTCTAAGTTTGTTCTGACGAGCAAAATTAAAGTTTTCAATGTGAAGTTCTAAAATGAGGAATCAGAAGCAAAACCTTAATAAAATGAGGCAAAGTAAGTGACAAGATGGGATACAGAATGGACTCTTGGTATCTTTGCAGCTAACAGTTTGAAATCTCTTAGCATTTGAACTGCACACTTGAAAAAAGCCACTCACTATGCTTTAATAAATCTTTTAGAAAAATAAGTAAAAACTAAAAAAATTAAAATCATGCATGATGCACTGGCACTGTGGGACAGCACATCAGGCAGCCACCTGCAACACCGGCATTCCGTGGGAATACGGCTTCAAGTGCCAGCTCCTTCATTTCCAATCTGGGAAAGCAACAGAAGATGGTCCAAATACTTGGGTCCCTGTCACCCACATGGGATACCCAGATGGAGGAACAGGCTCTGGCTTTCAGCCATTGTGGCCATTTGGAGAGTGAATTAGCAACAGAAACTCTCTCTGAAATTCAGCCTTTCAAAAAAAAAAAAAAAACCAATAAGATCACACATATGTTTCCTTAAGCGTGCCCTTCCATACCCATCTCAGAATCCATCATCTAGCATTAAACCCTATCTTGTTAAGTATCTTTTTTTTTTTAAGATTTATTTATTTTCATTGGAAAATCATATAAAGAGAAAGACCCTTGTCCACTGGCTCACTCCCCAGGTGGCTGCAACAGCTACAGCAAAGCAAATTTGAAACCAGGAGCCAGGAATTTCTACCATTTCTTCCACTCAGATGCAGGTGCCAAGGCCCTGGGCCATCCTCCACTGCTCCGAGGCCACAAGCAGGGAACTGGATGGGAAGTGGAGCAGCTAGGACAAGAACTGGCACATTTGTGATGGAATCCTGGGTGTGCAAGGTGAGGATTTAGCTCTAGGATATTGTGCCAATCCCAGAATCCCTTCAAAAATATAATTATTTAAGATACACAAACAGTTAATCCATACATTTTTGGCCTAAGCTCATTCACCCATCTCTAGCATCCTTTCCCCCCTCCACTCTCCATAGCTGGCACTGTCTTTCACAGAAAGGAGAAAACACACTTAAGCCCCCAGAATAGAAAACAGATTTCCCACCAAAGACTAAGGCCAGGCTAGCCTGCCCCCATCCCAGTCTTGGCATTCCCTTGACCCCAGGGAGTAAGAACCACCAAAGCTGAAATACCCTCCAAAAGCTGGTGTGATCCCCCCATGCACTCTTCCATTTTCTAGGAACTGTCCCATCCCTAGACCACCCTAAGACCGCAGACTATAAAAAGCCTAGGCTGTTGAAGGACTGGACCACTGCCATGTGGTCACTCCATCGACACACTGGCAGATGGCTGCCCTCTGAATATATTAACCTCTAAAAAAACTCAGTTTGGTTGTAAATTTGCTCCCTGTTCCTTCAGTTTCTACATCTCTTTCTCAACATTTGGTGCCTGTTTCTGTGCAACTTGGCCACCACCGCCTAACAACAAGATGGCTAAAACCAGATCAACTCCACTATCTTCCTGCATCTGTAACCACACAACTGCAAGGGAACCAACTATAAGGCAGATCCATTTACACTACCAGTGCCAAGCCCATTTGTCTTCTCAATTACTTCATTTTTTAAATTATTTTTCTCATATGCCATCACTTCATCTGGGTGTCTGTTTAAATGTCGTATCTTCTAAGCCCTGTACTCAAGTCTCCCCTTTTCCAATCATTCTCCTTCTCTTCTCCTTGCATAGGTTTTTCCCAGCATGAATTGTCAACTAATTATTATTAATTATTACTTTTTGCTTTCTATCAATCTTTACTTCAAAACAAACCCCCTGACATGGATTTTTACTTTCTTATGTACTGCTCAACATTTAGCACACAATTTATTGTCTTTTGCAAACCATGTATTCAATATATATTTTTTGCATGAATATGCAGTAAGCCCCTAACTTCATAAGGCTAAGAGAATTACTACTACTGATTCTACCCCAAAGCCTTTTCTGTCTCTGCAGAAGACGCCACTAAGCTGTGACAGCCAAAAGCCTGAGTCACCCTTGATTCTTTTCATTATAGCACTCATTCAATCTGTCCACATTTTACATTATCAGTTCTGCTTCAAAACTAAATCGTGGGCCCTGTGCGGTAGCCTAGTGCCTAAAGTGCTTGCCTTTCATGTGCCAGGATCCCATATGGGTGTTGGGTTGTGTCCCAGCTGCTTTACTTCCCTTCCAGCTCCCTGCTTTTGGTCTAGGAATGCAGTAGAGGACCGCCCAAAGCCTTGGGACCCTACACAAGTTTGGGAGACCCAGGACAAATTCCTGACTTCAAATTGGCTCAGTTCTGTCCATTGTGGCCACTTGGAGAGTGAACCAGTGGATGGAAGATCCTTCTCTCTGTAACTCTGACTTTCCAACAACAACAATAATAAATTAAATATTAGATATATCTACTTTTCATCACTTTTCTTCTACTGTGACAGTCCTAAGACTAACCTAGTGAGCTCATAGTTTGACCACGGCAGCACTCTAACTAGTGACAATTCTAAGATAAAACCAAAAATATCATTGTTTTGTTAAATTAAAACTATAATGGCTTCCTGATGCATGAAGAAAAAAAATCTAAATTCCTGTTTACTTACGCATTTTACTATTCCTCCTTCCCCACTAAAAGCACTTCATATAGTACCTGACACTTAACAAATCTTTTCTAAATGTCTGTATAGTTCGTTGTTACTAAAATGACACTCCTCCAAATGCAGCTATTCATACGAACGGGATTCCAACATCTAGTTCTAAAATATATCCACATAAGTACTAAGGTGAGATTGTCTGCCATCTACCATTTTGTGTAAATGGAAGATAATGTGTGTTTTCCATGAATTTATGAAAATATCACAAAGCACAAAAAGTTAATAGAAATGAAATTATTTATTTAAGTTTAGTAAATATTTGATAAACTTCTGGTATTCCATGTGAACTAGGATTTGAGTTGGATAACATGGATTTTTTAAACCAAGAGGAAACTCTTTGTATTACTCCTATTTGTTTTAATAGTATTCAGAGTGTGAAGCTGGTTGGAAATGAGAATTTTGTTTTTTTCCAACATCTACTGCATTTATATAACAAATATATGCTAGGCATGGGAAATACAAAGGCGGATCATCCATCAGCCCAGTGAAAACGCACACACCTTTGGGAAAATTCCAGTGCTATAACTGTATAACTACCAGCTATAATTCCTGTGTATAGAGTATTGCAGTTGCCTGAATGTGTCCCCAAAGTTTGTGGGTTGGAAACTTAATCCCCAGTAGAACAGTGTTGAGAAGTGGGGTGGTAATTAGGTCTAGAGGACTCTGACTTTAAGAATGGATCGATGCTGTTACCTCAAGAATAGGCTGACTTGGTCCCTTTGCTTTTTCTACCTCCACCCTCACCTTGTGACTTGCTGCCCAACTGCATTCTGTCATGATATGACACAGTAAGAATGTCCTTACCAGATGATCTTGGACTTTCTAGCTTCCAAAACTGCAAGTGAAATAAATTTCTAGTTATCATAAGTTATGCAGTCTGTAGCACTCTGTTAGAATTGCATAAAACAGACTAAAACAAGTATTATACAGAGTGGAAGGAAGAAGCAAGTAAATCTGTTTCCAGAAGTCTTGGAAGAGGATCACCTGAGTATGAATAGAAATAGTTTTTCAAGTACACAAGAAAAAAAAGCAGCAAGACAGCAAATAACACACATAAGGATAAAGAAAAACAAAAGATATTCACACAGTACTCAACAGCAATTGACCTGATGCATCTAAAAGGTAGAATACGGATGGGCACTGTGGCCTAGCTGATCGAGTTGTGGCCTGGGACATTCACATGCCACTTACAGGTCCTGGCACCCCCGCCTGGAAAGCAGTGGTTGATGGCTCAAGTACTTGGAGTCCTACTGCCCACGTGAGAGACCAAGGAGGAGTTTCAGATTTCACCCTGCCCAGCCTTGACTGTTGTGGGCAACTGGGGAATGAACCAACATACAGAAAAGCTCCTAAGATTCCTATAGATTTTCCAGGCTCTTCAAGTGGGGAAAAAACTTGAGAACAGAAGCATGTCTCTGTTGTTTTTACCCACACACGAGTACACACACAGTCCTGGCCCCTCTTGTTCATGCGGCTACTTCCATAGAACTCAATATGCACAGGTCTCAGTGGCAGCCACTGAGGAAACAGACAACAAATAAGACAGGCACAATCCATTTAATTACGATTGAAAAACATTCAATAAAGAGATAAAGGAGTGGCTGGAATGTTACAGTCATGCCCATTTCATACATTTTTGCATTATTTTGTTTTGATACAATGACACACTGAGTTGTTTTAACAAAGTACATGACTCACAAGGCTAAAAATATTGCCATTTAGACTTTACAAAAAAAAGATCTGATAATCACTCAAACAGACCATTGATTAGCTATATAAACTAGGCAGAGCATGAACAAAAGTAGTAGGTGAGATGAGGTGTTAGAGGAATTCCCTTTAACCTCTTAACAACTGAAGGAAGAGCTCAACAAAAGAAGACCTCAAAGCAAAGGTAGAAGCAACGTGGCATTATGTTAAAGACCTGAACTGACAGAGGTCAGTGTAGTTTGAGTATACACTTTAATTGGGGAATGTTGTGATATGAGACCAAGCAGGTAGGCACAGGTAGGAGTAGATCTGAGGCCTGCACTGTGGCATCACCACTATCATCAGACATGTACTGCTCCACTTCCAATTCAGTCCCATGCTAATGTGCCAACGAAAGCTCTGGCAGATGGCCCAAGGACTTGGTTCTTGGCGGTCACGTGGGATCTGGGATAGAGTTCCAGGTTCCTGGCTTCAAACTGGCCTATTCCCAGTCATTGTGGTCATTTGGAGAGTGAACCAGAAGATGGAAGATGTTTCTTTCCCTCTCTTCCTCTGCTTTTCAAATACATAAGAAGATAAATCTACTTTTTAAATTTTGTATTTATTAATGTAAAAGGCAGAGAGAAAGGAGAGAGACATATTAAAGGAAGACAGCTTCCATCTGTTAGTGTATTCCTCAGATGTCCAAAATGGCAGGGATGGGGTAAACCTAAGTAATGTGCCAACAACTCAAACCAGCTATCCCATGTAGATGGCAGGGATCAAAACAGCCAGTGCCTGTCACCTCCTGAGGTGCACCTTAGCAGGAAGCTAGAAATCGCAGCAGAGCCAGGACTCAAACCAGCACTGTGATGTTTAGGATCCTCTGAACTACTAAACCAAATGCCCACCCACTATTTTTTGGTGCAAAACTACGAAATTCATGAATATATATACTTTTTTTTTTTAGATAAGCAGTTACAGAGAGGAGAGACAGAAAAAAGTTTTCCATCTGCTGGATCACTTCCCAAATGGATACAATGGACCAAGATACACAGATCTGAACCTGGGAGCCCAGAGCTTCTTCCAGCTCTCCCACACAGGTACCTGGGCCCAAGCCCTTGAGTTATCCTCTGTTTCTTTCCCAGGCAGTAAGCTTGGAGCTGAATAAGCAGAGCAGTGTAGACACAAAGCAGTATCCATATGGGATGATGGCACTACAGGCAGAGACCTAGCCTACCGTGCCAGCCTTACCTTTTTCATAATATACATTTTCCATACATTCTTTCAAGAATCTCAGTTTGAAGTGATTTCGAGGATGGAAATTCTAATTTGGAACTTCAAATAAATACATCATTTTAAAAAAAAGGCTAAAGCAAAGACATCAAAGACGATTCTTAAAAACTTGGCACACACAAGTAGCTTGATAGGGCACACCGGAGAGAGCAATGGACAATAAAGCAGAATATATGATAGGAGAAAATTTTGTGCTTGAATTTAAAATATCTTAAAATGAAATGTCCACAGGACAGATGATCAATAGAAAGGCCTGGAATTGGGGCTTGTGCTGTGGCTTACTAACTAAGCTAAGCCTGTGCCTGTGGCACCAGCATTCTACATGAGAGCCAGTTCACGTTCAAGCTGCTCCAGTCCGCATCAAGCTCCTGGCTTGTGGCCTGGGAAAGCAAAAGAGAATGGCCCAAGTGTTTGGTACCCTGTATCCATGGGGGAAGACACTGAGGAGGCTCCTGATTCCTGGCCATTGTGGTCATCTGCAGTATGAACAAGTGGATGCAAGATCTCTTTTTGTCTCTATTCTCTCTGTAAGTCGTCTATCAAATCAAAATGATAAAAAAAAAAACTTTGCAAAAATATACTTCCATTTGCCCCACCCCCTCTCAAAAAAAACAAAAGCTGGGAATCAAAATTTTGGTAAAATATCAATTTAAAAAAAAAGGAAAGAAAATGGAGAGAGCCTCACAGCTAAGCTCTCCATTTCCCCCACTGGCATGTTGGGGTTAGAGGTCCAGTCCCCACTTCCTGCTAATGCACACTTGGGAGGCACAAAGTGATGGCTCATGTAGCGGGGTCCCTGCCACTCATGCAGAAACCCGGACTGCATTCATAGCTCTGATCTGGCTCCAGCTCCAACCACTGGATTTGGGGAGGATACCAGCTTTGTATGTCCATTTACTCAGCTGTTGCTTTCTCTTTCTGCCTATCAAGTGAAAAACAAAACTTAGAAAAAAAAAAACAAAACAAAAAAACCAACCCAGACAATTTGTATTGCAACTGATATTCATTTATTTTTATATGTTGGGTATCAGATAAAGAATACATGCTTATATACAGAAAACAAAAAGATAAAGATGTTTCAAGACCAAAAGCCATACAAAGATGTATCTTCACCATTTTCACACTTAGCAAATAAAGCTGTACTTAGGTGCTCAGCAGAAACACATTCCATTTATAAAATGGCCTCAAATACAACCTTTGACAAAGTCCTACATCACATAACAGGTTAATCTTGCATCAGAAAAAACTTATTATTTCAAAAGAAAAGGTTATTCTGTAATCTAAACAAGTCTACAAATGGGAATCTAACTTGCATTTTTGAAATTCATTGCAAACTTGAATATTGTCAGAGTATATAACATTCTCTCCCTGAACAAAAATTAGTCATATGAGAGAATCCTTAATACTTACTTTTCAAGTTCTTCCTGAGAATGGGCAAATGTACAGTTTGTTCCTCGAGGACATCCTCCTTGCTGGCGCAGATCTCGGCACATGCTAGTCTTGTATTTGCTGTTTGGTTGCGGCTGGAGAAAAGAAAAGGTTTAAAGTGCTAAAGGTTTAAAGGTTTAAAGTGTTAAAGGTTTAAAGGTTTAAAGACTGAAGACTTCAGTTGTTACTCACTCTTGGGTCTCCACAACTTTATGATCACATCCTTAAACCCTTGACACATTAAATAAATACTTCTTATACTAAAATATCGAACGACTATGTCATTGTTCTCTACTATGACATACATGTCATCAGCTGGGATTAACATTTTAGACATTCCTTCTGAAGATTATTTGAAACTGGTTCAAATGTTACATCCACTTATTTTTCAGTTCATTGAACAAAATGCTCAAGAAATTTAGAGCAGTATTAAAGTTTTGATAAAAAGCAAAACAATTTTAAAAATCATTAACACAAAGAACATAAATTTTACCCATTCAAAATTTCCCAGAAAAGGTTGAATATAATTCCCTTGGAAAGCAAAAACTTTTCTATGTCAATTTGAGGGTATAACTCAATTCAGAATTGAGCTGCTAAAAGCTCATGCAAGGAACTGGTTTTCTAAGGTGACAGATAAAGCTTTTGTCTGTGATGCTGGCATGTCATATGAGTGTCTGGGGAAGTAGTAGAAGATGGTCCAATTCTTTGGGCTCCTGCACCCTTAGGGAAGATCCCATAGAAGCTCTGGACTCCTGGCTTTAGCCTGCCCCTGTCCCAGCGATTATAGCCATTTGGGAAGTGAACCAGTGGACTGAAGACCTTTTCTCTGTCTTTTTGTTTGTGTAACTCTGATTTTTAAATAAATGAATACATCTTAAAATCATTAGGCAGGGGCCTGACACAGTGATCTAGAGGCTAAAGTTGTTGCCTTGAACGCGCTGGGATCCCATGTGGGCACCGGTTCTAATCCTGGTGGCCCACTTCCCACCCAGCTCTCTCCTTGTGGCCTGGGAAAACAATCGAGGATGGCCCAAAGCCTTGGAACTCTGCACCCGCTGGAGAGACCTAGAAGAGGCTCCGGACTCCTAGCTTTGGACTGGCTTGGCTCCAGCCAATGTAATCACTTGGGGAGTGAATCAATGGATGGAAGAGCTTCTTCTCTGTCTTTCCTCTTCTCTGTATATCTAACTTTGCAATAAAAATAAAATGAATCTTAAAAAAAAAAATCATGAGGTAGAACATAATGAACTGTGATAACTGTGATAATTTGCATTTACATCTGAGGTATTACTCATTTTTGTGACCTTAATAGGAAAAAACATAACATCTTGTCACGATGTTTTCGAATAAGGACAGTGAAAGTTCGTACATTTTGCAGTGGATTTGGTCCCGGTGCGGGCATCTATTGACAGCATAACTCCATGCACATCTTTTAACCTCTTTAATTCAACTTGTGAATAGCAGTTGCCTTGCAGGTAGATGTGAGATTAGGAAAATACTTTCCTGAGGTAAATACTGAATATTGCAGCTGGTGCATGGTAAACAACAGCAGCTATTATTAGAAAGCGACCATTTTCTACAGTGTAAAAGAATTACATGAAATATTTGGAAGAAACCAATGATCAACATATGGTCAAAATCATTTTGTTGGGCAGGTGTGTTGGCTCAATTGGCTAATCCTCTCCTTCCAAGCACCAGTATCCCATATGGGCTCTGGTTCATGTCTTGGCTGTTCCAAGGATGTGCCAAGCATCAAAGGATGGCCTAATGCCTTGAAACCCTGCACTGTGCGGGAAATCCAGAAGAAGCTCTTGGCTTCTGGATTTGGATCAGCTCAGCTTTGGTCATTGCAGCCATTTTAAGAGTAAAATAGTGGATAGATCATTCTCTTGTCTCTTCTTCTCTCTGTAAATCTGCCTTTCCAATAAAAAAAAAATTATAAATCTTTCACAGTAGTCATTTTGTGATGCAGTGAATTTATATGCAAGAGAATCCTCAACTCTTGCTCTAACATGAAGTGTTTATCAGGAAAGTATTACAAAAGATCAGAGATAAGAACTTATGAGATCTGTCACAGAAGGGGCCCATTCATCACAACAGCTAGTGAAGACGTTCAAGATCACACTGTCCCAGAGGATGGCAGTCAGGCCTGCCATGAACACACTTACCTGAGGCGCCTCGTGGCCTTTTCTACTATAATTCTGTATGAAGTCCACAAGACCATGAACCACTGTTTTAACAGCTACCATTGCATTTTCTAGCTGCTCCCAAGTTGGTGAAACAGCATCTAAAATAAGCCACCAAGGCGTGGGAATAGGAATGGGGATGGGGAATGAGAAGGAAGAATTGGTTAGCAATAATTCTCTTGTGTGATTTACCTCAAAGGTAGAAAAAAAGAATATGCAACGAAGCATTTCCCACATACCTGGATTGGGATCTATGTTTGCAAGAAGCTCTAAATGAGGTCTCAGTCTATTTAAGTTAGCTGGGTCACCTGTTCGTTGCAAAACAATTGTCAACTCTTGGACACTCTTTGCAAATGACTCTGGAGACTGCAGCTAACAAACAGAAAAGAGTATTTACTCTAACTCTTACGCACATCTACAGACAAGTGCTTTCAATCATTTTAACATACTTGAAATGTTTTCAAGTGTCTTCAGAATTCATAGTTAGGGTATCAGTGATGAATCAAACTTTCACCTCAGAATCTGCCCTATGAAATTCATCATGAGACACTTGAAAAACTTCTTCATAGACTGTATTAGCTCTCTAAGGTCAGAATGTAGATAAAAGTGGGTATTTTAAAGCCACCTGGTTTTCTGTACTTTCTTCCTAGCTGTATCCCATAGTTTATTTTGAAATGCAAAGAAAAAAGATATAATTTATAAGTCTGATATAAAAAACTGATATTAAATACAAATCTCCAATTGTCTGTCTTATTACATCTTTCAGGATACAGGCAGTCCCTGATTTAGATTTATATGGTTTAACCTGGAAGCTTGTAGCATTAGATCATGTCAAAGTGACATGCATTCGGTAGAAATGGGATTTCAAACTTCTTCAGATAACACGTATGTGGTCTGATACTGGGCATCAGCAACAAGCTGCAGATCCTGCAGATCCTGAGGGAGAACAACCGACCCTGTGCAGTGCTCCTGCTGTGCCAAGGTGTGAGATTCTGTAGGTTGTCCCTTACAAAATGCTTTTTGAGATGTAATAGGATCATAACTAAGGAGCATTTTTACTCCAATATTCTTCAGCCTAACACCAATGATACAAAATCAGCACCACTAATTTTACAAACCTTATCAATAATAGACTGCATATGTGACTTATGGGCCAAGTCACCATATAAAAGTGAGGACCACTGCTCAGGTGAAATTCGGAGTCCTGCTTCCATGGCAATATGAACAATCTGGGCATCGTGTTCTCTGCGTAATGCCTCATAGCTACGAAATTCTTCCTTTAACTGCATCAGGGAAGAGTCTTCATCCCTTTTGGTAACCTACACATCGAAATGAGGAAAAAACACATCAAAATTAGTCTCTTTTTTTCACCTTAACCAATTCTCCAGGTCGGGGAGAAGGGTGTTTGGTTGTAAGGAGTGAAACCATGCAGTCTGCTCATATTATGCATCTTCCTCAAACTTCTCAAAGACCCACTTAAACACGCATTTCAAAACTTTTTGCATAAAAATAAACTCAGCCTTTAATTACAGTTTTTCCATGAGGTTGCTAAAGTATCCTTATCTATGAACTCCCCAATGCCTCTTCAGATACACTGCATCTCCTTCAATTAAGAACCACTGCACTGAGGTGGCCACCACAGTGTCGTTGGCTAACCTTTGCTTGAGGCGCTGGCAACCCATATGGGTGCTGGTTGGGTCCTGGCTACTCTGCTTCCATTTGAACCCTGCTTCTGTCCTGAGAAGACAGTAGAGGATGGCTCAAATCCTTGGAGCCTGCACCCACATGGGAGACCAGAAGAAACTCCGGGCTCTTGGCTTCTGTCTTTGCATCAGTTCACCTCTAGCAGTTGTGGCCATTTGGGGAGCAATCTATTGATAGAGAATGTTTGCGTTTGTGATGTTTGTATATGTGTGTGTTATCTCTGTAAACTTACCTTTCAAATAAAAGTAAATGAATCTTAAAAAGGAAACAAACCATTGAACTAAATATTACAACATTAACTCCCCTTTTTCTAACTCCATGCTAGCAAGCAAAGGTTTGAAGTTCTTCAGGTAAATATCTTCCAACTTGAGGATTCAAAGCACTTAAAGAATTGCATTTTGTGTAACAAAATAATAAAACTGAGAATCTGCAATAAATCTACTATATGAACCCACAAAATTCAGGCTTCTAAGTCTATAAAAGTTATATAAGGACGTTGGGTAATGATGAGTTCACTAAAAATAAATGCCCTCTGGCATTAAGTCAGCACAATATTGTTTTAGCTCTCTAAACACTATGCTTTAACATTTTAAATCACATAAAAATGAAGATGAGATGAGAGCATAAAATTAAAATCACTTTCTAAAACAGTATTTTTCAAATGTCAGGTATCACCATCCAGTACAGATGGAAGAAAATTATAAACCAGAAATCAGAATGACATCTGTAAGGAAAAAAACTCATTAACAATAAAAAGATTGTATGAACCTAGTCACTTCAGGATGACAAATGATCTCTGGGCTTTAGCTATTTAGCAAAAACATGATATGTGAGGACATTCATTTTCATTTTAAGGACATAGAATCCTGTATTTAAAGCTATCAGGCAAATAGTGCGCAAACATAATTAATGAAGATAAACAAATAAATTTGAACACACTTTCATCATCTATGATTACATGTTACTTAAAACTAAACAACTGGCCAAAGAAGTCTTTTTCTGTCTATTTTAACTCTAGGGTTATAGAATCAACCAAATAACTCAAGAAAGTGCTGGTTGGTTTGGACATTTTAACTCCACAGAAACCATGAAGTTTATTTCTAAGTGTTTCGGCATCTTTCAAGACCAAGCCAGCAACCTATACTTTAACACCATACGGAAACTTCAAGGACTCAGTCTCTTTCCACACACTTTACTTGACATGAAAATACTAGCCTAGACAACTAAATTACACTTGAACAATTTCTGGGCTTCTTCAATGTCTTTTCCACTAAACAAACAAAAACACCTAAATGCAGAGTGCAGCAAGCTCAAATCTTCATTTCTTCTTGTTTCCAAGATAACATGCACTCTACATTTTTAGATTGTAAACAGTCACTATAGACAATGAAATAAAATTGTAATGGGGTACAAAGTTTATCAACTATAATAAAATTTTCAGATGAAGTAGGCCTTCTAAAGGCTACTTTTACAATCCACCTTTACTTGACAAAAATCAAAAGTTAACCAACTACTTCATTATATTTTACTCTGCTAACTGACAGTTGTACATATGGGCTCTCATTTTGTCAATATAATAAGGCATTACCAACAGGCAGGTTCGCATATGCAGTTAATAGTTTTCTCACAACCTATTTTCTTGTCTTCTTCATTTTTCTTTTAGGACTTATTTATTCACTTTACAGGCAGTTACACAAAGAGAAAGATATCTTCCACCTGCTGGTTCACTCCCCGACATGGCTACCAGAGCCAGGGTTCAACCATGTGGAAGACAAGAGCCTAGAACTCCTTCCAGGTCTCCTGTACGAGTGGCATTCTTCACTGCTTTTCCAAGCCCCTTAGCAGGAAGCTGGACAGCAGTAACCAGGACTGAACGAGAGCTCCTATGGCACTCTGATGTGATAGGCGGAAAGCTTACCCTGCTGTGCCAAAACACGGTCTTTAACTATTGTGAGCATTCTGAATTTCTTGGGCATCTAGACTGACCAGGACAAATTCTGGAACGCCTCCATCTTATCCTCAGAATCTTTAGACACTTGTGTTATTGCTTACCTTAAAACAAGAAGCTCTATAGAGTAGTTGTACAACATGACCAATACTTGTTTTTGATGCCTGAGGAAATCTTGGCTCTAGTCTTTGCACAACAAAAAGTACCAAAACTTTCCTTGAGAGAGCAGAGCCATCTTCTAATGCCAATAATACCAGCTTCAAGGCTTCTTCTTGCATAGCTAGAAATATTGAAGGAATATGAATTCATGATACATGAGGCACTCTGAAGACCATGTCCAATATAGAAATGTTGGGGGATTTATTCATGGGAGTGCATTACCTACGATCTGTATGTGTTTATTTAGTACTTGTTTGTTTTTATTTATTCAAAAGGCAGAAAAACATCAGGAAAGTAAGAGATGTAGAAATTTTCCATCCAATTGTTCACTTATGAAATGGCTGCCAATAGCCAGGACTGAGCCATGTCAAAGATAGGAGCCTGGAACTCTATCCAGGTGTCCTACATGAGTGGAGGGTATACAAGTACCTGGAGCAACCTTCCCAGCTTCCTTAGGTACATAAGCTGAGAGAAGGGTTGGAAGCAGAATAACCAGGAATCAAAACCACACAAACCCACATTCTAATATAGGATGCCAGCAATGCAATTAGCAGCTTAACTCACTGCGCCACAACACTGGCCCCCAAATCCATATTTATTAGCACAAAGAGGATATCTGCATATACATATAAGTATATTGGAAGTACTCAAACAAAACCAAAGAAACAAACAAAAAAAATAGTCTACCAAATAAGCAATCAGGATACAAATTCAGTAGAAATTAAAATCTAAGTAGGTACTTAATAATCAATGAGATAACAATGTTAAGGTGAAAAAGTAATTCTAAAACACACAGAACTACTCTGAAAAATATAAGTATTAATTGTGTTATCTTAAAAATTGTTTTTTAAATTATCTTTACTTTTTTTTTTTTTGAGAGGCAGAGAGAAACAGACCTCGTCCAATGGTTTACTTCCCAAATACCTGGGGACCGGGAATTCAATCCAGGTTTCCAATGTGGGTGGCAGGAACACAACCACTTGAGCCACTAGCTCTTGCCTGCAGCAGTATGTCCCAGCAGGAAGCTGGACTCCAGAACTCAGACTCCAAGTCAGGCACTCTAACATGCCATGTCGGTATTCCTAGTAATGCCTTCATCACTGAGCCAGGTGCTACCCTCAGTCATCGATGTTATGCTCAAAATTGCTCTTTGCCTGTAAGAATTACTTTACATGTAATTAAAATGTATTTGCTTCTGGATGAAGTATTCAAAGAAGGTATTAAACTACACTGTTTTATAGCTAGGGCTGAATCTAACCATGGGGGAACATCAAGCAAACCTTAAATAGAGAATATCTTTTTTTATAAAATAAACGGTCTCACTGAAGAATATCATGGTTGAGGTCAGCACTGTGGCATGCCAAGTTAAGCCACCATTCGGAATACCAACACCTCACACAGGAATGCCAGCTCTAGTTCTGGATCCTCTGCTTTCTGGGTCCTGATTCAGCTCCAACTCCCACCTCCCTGAGAATGAGCCCAGCAAGCAGCAGCTGATGGCTGCAGTACTTGAGTCCCTGCCACCATGTGGAGATCCTAATGGAATTGCTAACTTCTGGCCTGCAGCTTCCACCCGTCCTGGACCTAGCTGTTGTAACATCCAAGAAGTGAACCCGTGGATCAAAGATCTCTTTCTGGCTATATTCTTTTAAATAAACAAATAAATGTTTTTTTAAAAAGTTACAAGGAATGGTTCCAGAGACATGAAAAATCTGGACCAGATCTTACATTAGAAGAAATGCCACAAGAGACAGTTTGGAATAACTGACAAAACAACTGTAGACTGTTGTATCATACCATGTTAAATTTGATGAATATACTGTTTCTACATAACACATTGAAGTAGCAGGGTAAAAAGATAAAAATTATGCAACCTGTCCTCAGACGGTTCAGAAAACAGAAAAAAAATAATAATTACAAATATGGAAATATATTAATACTGGTGGGAGCGGGCATTTGCCTCAGTGATTAAAATACTGCTTGGATTGCCCACAGCCTCTAAGTCTGCATGGATTTCAGGACCCTCTCTTCTGATCCAGCCTCCTGATAACACATGCCTGGGAGGCAGCAGATGAGGAAGGCCCAGGTGCTTGGAACCCTGCCACCCACATGGAAAATCAGACTGGAATTTCATCATGGCTTTGGATAACTTTGGTTGTTACAGGAATTTGGAGCGTGAATTACTAGATACAAGATCACTCAGTCTGTTCCCATCCCTCTATGCCCCTGTTGTTCTGCCAAAGAATAAATTAAAAAAAGGGGAGGACATTAATAAAAAAAACAACCTGGTGAAAGTTAATAAAAATAAAAGATATAATAGCAAAATAATAAAAATTAATGCAAAATTTTCCGCAGTATTTTTGTAATTTTAAAACTCAATTTTAAATGACTGCAAAATGAAACATAAAAAACATGTGGCTATCACAATTATCAACAAAAAACCATAGAGCTAAGAAATCTGGACTCTAGATTCACAAATACAGCAATGGAGTCTTGAGGAAGTCAAGTCACTAACTCAAGGGAGCATAACTAGTCAGATAGTAAGATTCGAGGCAGAATCAAAAACTTTTTTTTTTCAATTGAGGTAAAAAAAAATCACACAAAAATAATTATTTAAAATATACAATTCATTAACATCGGTAAATACATCTGCAACTTTGTACAATTATAAACCCTATTTCTAAGGCACTGTTTCATCCCAAACGAAACCCTACAGCTATTAACCAGTTGGTTCTCATTTGCTCTGTCCAACAATCATGTCTTTATTTATAACAATATTGTGACATTCTTGTACACGCAGCATGTTCAGTACATGACTATTTTTCATATATGAATAATATCCTAATTATGGACACACCATGTATTCCTTAGCCATGATTAGCAGTTATTTGGATTGATTTAATCTTTTCACTATTGTGAATAATGCAGCTATCAACATTTGTGCGCAAGTGTTAGATTGAGTAACTGTTTTCTATCCTTTTGAGTGCCAAACCAGGGGTGACAATGCTGGATTATATATATACACCATTTTATGTCTAACTTTTTTGAAGAAATACAAATTGTTTTCCATGGCAGCATACCATTTTCCATGCTCACATCTTCCCCACTCTTACCAACACTTGTTATTTTCCATTTAATAAAATCATGAGCAGAGTGGGTAAGACTGTTTCCAGTTCCCTATAATGACACTCAGAATTCTTCCTGTGCTTGCTGATCAACTGTATCTCTTCTTTGAAGATCAAACCCTTTACCCACTTTTAAATTTTTGTTGCTGCTTCCGAGTTGATGGAGGACATCTGTTACATAGACCAGCAATTCCAAGATAAACAAGCATGACAAATTTCCAACGAGAACACTCTTTAAGTTACAGATAAAACTAGATTTTAAAAATACCTGAGAATTTAATTTTGTAATCTAGAAAAATTTTAGCATCCACAAAAGTAGAGATAACTTACATCCACAACATGGCCGCTAGCAGTCAGGATGCATCTACTTTCTACCTACTTTACTTTTAGTTTTGGCTCAAGTATTTTGAAATCTTGACAACACTGCTCCACGTTTAGAGAGCAGTCTGCATTTCTAACAAGTAAGGCTTTTATTGAATTTTAACAACATTATCAAACTTATCAAAAGTAACGTATCTCTTTAACAGAATACTTAGTCCATTTTTGTTTTCTCCCACTGTCTCAAAAATGTCCCCTTTCAGGTGGTATCAGTATCCAAATAAAGTCTATACATTGGTTTTGGTAGAAAGGTCTTTAGGTTAAAAAATATTTTACACCAGTTCCCTATCACCGTTTATTTCTTAATTTAAAAGAAGAAAAAAATTTTTTTTCTAAGCAGTTTCTTCATTCCAGATAAGGCTAGTTTTTCTTTGTAATCTTAAAAATGTTCTTCTAGGCATCACCACCACTGCCCCTTTAAAGATTTATTTTTATTTATTTCAAAGACAGAAAGACAGAGAGGGATCACAGATCTGCCATCTTTTGCAATGGCGGCAATGCTAGGTCTGGACCAGATACAAACCAGGAGCCAGTATCCCCATCCTTGTCTTCTTCAGGTACTTGGGCTCCTTCCCGCTGCCTTCCAGACACATCAGTGAACAAACACTTTGATGTGGAACGCTGGGGTGGTAAGGTGTGGCTGCAACTGCATTCCTACCATGTGGGGCCCTGACACTCTCCTGTTTGCTTGTTTTAACAAACAGCTTCTAAAAATAACTTTAATGTATTTATTCAATCACTAGCCAGAGAGACAGGTTTTCCATCTGCTGGTTCACATCCTACAACTGCCAGGGTGTGACCAGGCCTAAAGCCTTAACTCAATTTGTTTTCCCATGTGAATGGTGGGGATCCAAGAACATGGCATCACTTGTTGCCTCAGACAAACAGCTGGAATAGGGAGCAGAACCAGGGCCGAAAACAGAGCACTCCACACAGGATGGGCATGTTCCAAACAGCGTCTCTGCACTGAGCACCTGCTTCATGGCATTTTGTCTTATCTACATTAGAAGTCTGTTTAGATTGGAATGAGGTTTTTAATTGGGAGGACCAAGAATATTTTTCTTACTCTATGTATTACAGTGCAAGATATGTAAGCTTAAGGCCCAGTTGCCTCATGTTTAGTAATGTTAAGATGACTGGATAGTTTAAGCCTTATCCAGCGATAATCAATTTTCCCAGACATGTTCCATCTAATTTTTTAAAGTATTTATTTTTATTTAAAAGGTAGATTTTTACAGACACAGGAGGGAAGCAAAGACAGAGATCTTCCATCTGTTGGTTCATTTCCGAAAAGGTTACAATGGCCAGAGCAGGGCCAGCCAGAAGCCAGGAGCCAGGATCTTCATCTGGGACTTCTACATGGGTGCAGGGCACGAGGACCTGAGCCATCATCCACTGCTGTCTTTCCAGGGGTATCAGTAGGGAAGTAAATTGAAGTTAAGCAGCCAGAACTCAACTGGCCCCCATATTGGGCTCTGGGGCTGCAGGCGCAGGCCCCACATAGAATGATTTTTAACAGCCACTAATAATTCTCAGCTAAGCCCATTAATTCACTCACAAACTATTATATTAACACTGTTTTGCGGTTTTATTCAGAAATCTGCTTTAAAAAGTAACTTTTAATATAAATTAACTGTTTTGTAAATACCTCCTTCTCTTACAAAGACACTATACTAACCACAGTATTCTGCACCTTGTTGCTGGTTGTTTTTTTTTTAAAACAATGTATCCAGAGAGCAAGCTCCAGCAGAATATGTACACATCATCCTTATTGCTTTCAACAGCTGCAAGGTAAGCGCTCCATTAGAATATATATCAGTTGATTAAATTGGTACCTTATTCACAAAGTTGTTTCCAGATATCTCCTGGTACAAGCACTGACTTATAACTTAATGTTAATTCTGCACATTTTGCTGTACATTTGGGGTGGGTTAGTGGGACTGCTGGGACACAAATAAATGCACATATCATTTTTCCAGATAGCACCAAATTCCTGTGTGTAACTGTTTAGATCACTCTGTGTCCATACTATGAGCCCTGTTAACAAAGTGTATTGTCAGATTTTTACACTCTGCAAATGATATGTTAGAAATGGTGTTTCAGTAACACTTCTCTTCACATGAGAAAAACTGAATATCATATGTTACAGATTGTTTTTTCTTATTAGCTTCTTATTTACAGTTTTTGTCAATTTTCATTTAGGTTTCTAGTTTTTTATTCTTCTGAACTTTAGAAACATCCATTACGTAAGCTCTGTATCAGATAAAATTTACTAAAATTTCCATGTTTGTCAACTTTTTACTTTACATTTTATAAAGTAAACTAAACAAAAATTATATATTTAGATATTAATGTTTTCCCTTGCAGCTTCTGGTCTTCCAACCAAAGTTAGAAAAGTTACCCCTAATCCCAGGATATGGAAACTCACTTTTTTGCTTTGTTAGTCATGAAACTTCTTTTTTTTAAATCATAACTATTTCTGACCTTTTTAAAATTTAATTTTCTTTTCATCCACACATATACCCAGTTGTCTCAACGACACAAAAATAAATTTTTATCAAAGCCATAGTTCTAAATTAGAACCATAAAATAAAGATAAAATAAAGCTTTTGGAAGAAAATTTAAGGGTACTTCATAACAATTTGATGCAACGATTTTTCTTAAACAAAATATCGAAAGCACTACTTATAAAGGAATTATCCCACTGCTACTATTAGTAATTTCCATGCTTCCCAAGCTTAAAACCAACCACAAGCTTTGCCATTTTTTTCAGACTGAAAAAAGTCTATTTTTCCTTTCGTTACAACCTGTGCAATCTTAGGTCTGTTTCTAACTCAGATTTCTAATTTACAAACTGTAGCTGTGAAATCTAACTTCACACTTAAAAGGAGCATTTTAATACAAAGAACTGCCTATTAAACAGATGATGACTAACAAAACCTATTTTACTTCAAGAATCGAATATCAAGATGGGTTGAGTCTCAGAATCCTTGCCTATCTCTATAAGTTGGCACTCTCAAGCCCTACCAGCCAATAAGGAAGGGAAGAGAGTGCTCTGCCTTACCTGGCCCTAGAAACTGGCATCCTCGAGCCCTGACAGCAGCCCACAGATTGGCAGACAGCTGCTGAGGGTTCTGATGCTGTAATATCAGCTCTGTTACAGTTCTTTCTCCAAGTGAACGGGCGGCTCGCATGGCTCTGACACGGCCTTCTTCCTCCACCAGCTGACAGTTTACAAGTGTCACCAGTTTCCTTTGCATTGGACGGCTCAGTGCGCTCTGGTTCAAACTAGCTATACCTTTAGGAAAAGGGAAACAAAGGGAACTCAAGTTTTTCAATAAAAAAGTCAATTTTCATTATCTGTATTTAACTATTCACAATTCCTAATGAGTCCCTTGTAACATACTTCCATGACTCGATTAACGAGTACTCTGTCACAATGGTGAATAGCAATTCTGGCTTAATAAGGAAGCTAAGTTCTAGTTACTTCACATTTTATTTAGCTATGCCATCTGCCAAGCTGTATGCATTAAAAGATAGCACTTTACTTAATCTGTTTCCCCCTCTTTACAGAAACGATTGATGGTAAATTTAATGATTGAATGAAAACTTTAACCTAAAAGTAACAATTAATGAATGATTCTATTTTAAAAAATTGTATGAAAGATATTTAGAACACTATCTAACCTTACCTACTCCAGGACACGGCTCTAGCAATTCCACCCTCTTCCACATCAACTTTCCCAACACTATTTGATCACGTACATCAGCACACAATAAGAACAAATACGCTATTGTTTCATTCATCTTAAAAATGAAGACATCTTTTCAGTGGTTCCTCCTCCTTACAAGTTCTGCCCCATTCACTTCTTTATTGCCTTTCTTGTAACAAAGTCTGGTGTCTTTTTTCATTACCCAGGCTCCTTGCTTTGCTTCATAAACTGTAAACCCACTCCAGCAAGGTTTTGTCATTGAGCAAAATTACTCCTGTCAAGCCAACAATGACCATCACTTTGTGCCACTGATTAGTGGCCCAGTCCTTATTTGACCCTCCATTAGCATTCAAAACAAGTCTTTCTCAGTCCTTTACGCATCTTGACTTCCTGATACAGCACTCCCTGAGTTTTCCTCCCCCTTCCATCCTTTTTTTTTTCTCTGATCTATTTTTCCCTAACTGCACTCACTACTGTAAATAACAAACACAACAATGACACCCAAAGTTGGAGTGCTTGAATCTCACCCCTAACACAAACTATCTGCTTGTAAGCATTCAGGTGAAGATAAGGCATCTCAAATTTACTGACTAAAACTAAACTTGACTGTCTTAACTAAACCTGATCTACCTCTGTATTTCCTATCTAAGCCGATGGGAAATCCTCTTTCCGGGAGCTCAAGTGTCATGCTTGTCTGCTTTTTCTTGCATATCCCACTGAATATTCTTGACTCTACCTTTCAGACACACTCAGATTTCATCAGTTCTTCCAACAGTCTCTTAACTCATCATCCTGCTTCTACCTTTGTTTTGTTTTTTCTTCATACAGAATTCTTAGGACAGCAGCCAGAGTGGTCCTTTTAACATTAGTCAGATGAGGTCTTCTCTACCCTAAACCCTGTAGATTCCCCAGTTCTACTCAAGATTAAAGACTCAAAAATGACCTGTAACTCTGTGTATCATCTGGCCACACCATTTTATCTCACACTGTTCTCTTTCCTATTCATATTCTACCCTCCTCTGGCTCTCCTATGAGAACATTAAACATGGCCTGGGGATAATACACTGGATAGACTCTGGAATGTTCTTATCTCAGAACCTACATAGTTACCCATCTCATCTCCTTGACTTCAAGTTCAAATGCCACCTACTTAATAAGGCCTGAACCTGTCACCTTTTCAAAAATTCCAATCTGGGCTTCACCTCTCACCCTGACATCTGAGCCCTTTGAAACTGTATTGTTTTCTCCTTACAGCACTTCATACATGTAAGAAACTATTAACTTTATTATACTAATTGTTTATTATAATTTTCTTCCCTTTTCTAAAATAGTAGTGCTCAGGGAAAGTATGTTTGTCAGTTTTGTTTAATAATGTATCCCAGGCATCAAAATTATGGCTGGTACTTAGTCTACTCTTTTTATGTTTCTATTCAATGAGTAAATGCAGAAATGAACATGGTGGACAAGATAAGGTTCTCATAAAGATAACAATGCAAACTATTCAATGGTAAAAGCACAGAGCAGGCACAAAATAAATGATTTATTCAACAACTCTTTATTACAGCAATGATGTTAATCACTGAACAAACAGTGATGAACAAAATAAAATTCCACTTTTGCCACAGCACTTAAAATAATGCATTACACTTGTCCACCTCATATCCTTGCTCCATGGAGGCAGTGACCTTAATCACTGAAAAGTTCTTAATAAAGTTTAATGAAGGATGGAATGAATACACAGATCTTTCTACAGCACTAATAGTTTAATTAATCTCAATACTGTTGGATAGATTCTTAATGACAATATATTGTTGATTTCTAGAAAATGGTATAATAAAATATTCTCAGTCAAAAAGTTCAACATCAAGCCTTTTGAAAGAAATGTATTATCATGTCCTCCCAACCAACAACAATGCTTCCCATGAACTTACCTTTCCCTCCACTTAATGGTTTTAAGTAGAGTGCCAAATCCTCAACACATTTCTTTGCAACCTCATAGTGTTTATTCTCACCTAAATTACTTAACTTTATCGACTGATGATCTGGTACCTAAAAAAAGAAAAAACTATAAAACTACATTCATCCAGCTCATGCAACTATTATTTATAAACTTGATAATAATCATACTTAGTGCAAAATTATAATACAGAGGGCTTCAAAAAGTTCATGGAAAGTGTATATTTTGAAAAACTGTCATTTTTTTCCCAAATTTTTACACATCAAAATAAACCTAAGCTTCTATTATTTCCCATGAACTTAAAAAATGTTTTACTTATTATTTTATTAACACAAAGGAGAATGGATTTTGTGCATTCTATAGGCACAGTTCCAAAAAGATAAACATTATTTTCCACACTTCCTGGCTACCCCTCAAAATCCAACACTTCCTCTACTCTCTTAATTAGTTTTTGCAAAGATATAATTTTAATCTACTCTACTGGTTTAATTTGCCACTAATAATATTCAACATGTTGTATGCTCCAATGGACTAGAAGCAATGGGTAAAAATGACAATCATATCACAAAGTGACCAATTCATTCCTACGCATTTTGTTTATATTTTGTATTAGTTGCTGCCAATCATAGAAAACAATATGATATTTGTCATTTTGAGACTGGCCAATTTCACCAAATATAATGGTTTCAGTTGCAGCCATCTGGTTGCAAAAGACAGGATCTCATTCTTTTTTATGACTGAGTAGTACTACATAGTGTGTGTGTGTGTGTGTGTGTGTGTGTGTGTGTGTGTGTGTGTGTGTGTATGTGTGTGTGCGCGTGCGCAGACCACGTTTTCTTTATCTAGTCATCAATTTTTAGACATTTGGGTTGATTCCATACCTTAGCCATCATTAATTGATCATTATTGCATCATTAATTGCAATAAACAACTAATTCTCTCATGTGCTGATTTTACTTCATCCAATTAACTTTTTGAAGTCCATTTATAATACATTAGAAACAGGTAAAATTACAGCCATGCTGTTTTCAACAAATCAAGAGCATCGTATTTAACTGAAGGCCTGTAGAGCTTAATGAAGGGAAAAAGCAGCTGGAAGTTCACAGTATTAGTGCAGTACTAACTTTGTGGGATCGATAAATGTACTATAGTTATTAAAGACACTACATTAGGGAAACCTGTGTGAAGTTGAACAGCTTTTTCATATGTATCTATATAAATTTTCAAAGGGTTTATTTGTTTTATTTGAAAGGAAGATTTCACAGAGAGAGAAGGGGAGATAGAGAAGATTTTTCTAATCATTGGTTCACTGCCCAAATGGCCGCAATGGCCTGAGCTGAGCTGATCCAAAGCCAGGAGCTTCTTCTTGGTCTCCCACATGGGATCAGGGACCCAAGGACTTGGGCCATTCCCTGCTGCTTTCTCAGGCCACCAGCAGAAAGCCGCATCAAAAATGGAGCAGCCAAGAAATGAACCTGTGCCCATATGGGAAGCCAATGCCACAAGGTGGAGGATTAGCTTGTTAAGTCACCACGCCAGCCCCATATACTATTTTTGTAATTCTGAAAATATTTGAAAATAAAAAGTAGGAAAGGTTTCCTACTCTCGGGAGGTTGGCTTCCCTGCCCCACTCCCCCATTGCATTTAACACCTTCTTAATATATTAGCTACCTGTTAATGTTTATTGTTTACGGTCTGTTACCCATGAGCACAAGACACAATCTAAGGTAAATGTTGTGGTTACAGTGAGCTAAGCCACCATTTGTAGTGCCAACATCACATATTGGTGTGTCAGTTTAAGTCAGAGTCCTGGCTACTTGCTTGTGATCCAGCTCCATGTTAATGTTTCTGGAAAAACATCAGGAGATGGATGGTCCAAGTAATTGAGCCACTGCCACCCACAATAGGAGGCTCAGAAGCAATTCTGGACTCCTGGATTCAGCCAGGTTCAACTACAGTCACTGTTGCCACCTTGCAGAGTGAAACAGGGAATGAAAGATGTCTCTTTCTCTGTCACTCATTCAAATCAATAAATCTTAAAACCAATGTAAGATCTTAGTGTTCTAAATCAAAGGTTCAAATGTTTTGGGTTAAAAACTTCTACGAGTGATCTTGAGAAAATCATCTAACTTCTTCAAGTCATAATTTCCATATCTTAAGAAATAAAAAATGTGTTTTTCATTGGGCCATCCATTCTGAAATTTCAAGGCAAGAAAACTTCTTGCCTGTGCAGACTTTACAATCAGCAGACAGAAGCAATGGCCAACAAATATAAAACATAATAGGTAAATACATATGTTTAGAAGGTGATCAGTATAAATCACACTGCAAAGACGCTGGGAACTGGAAATGCCGTAGAGCTGCCGCAGCTCTCACTAGAGGATCCAAAGAGGTTTCCTTGAGAACTACAACATTTGAATAAAAACTTGAAAGAAGAGCGGGGATGAATATTCCAGGACGAGACACCAGTCAGAACAAGAGACTTAAGTGGCAACATGTGCACTGAATTTTAGGATTGGATAGCAGGCCAGTGAGGCATAAGCAGATGAGAGATGAGAGGCAGAAGTAAGAAATAAAGCTGAAGAAGTAGCCCAAGTTACATTGTATAGACACTGAAGACTAGTTTAGGATTCAACTGAGACAACATTTATGTACATCACTAACACAATAACGGATACACGATGGTGGATGCTAAACAAATGCTAGCTAGTATTAGTACAAAAACTTATAACGTTTTATCACACCCAAAATACTATAGTTTGCAAAAGATTATTTTCTTATACTCCATTACAAAAATATGCTGCCAATTCCAAAACACTAGTGACCATAGTGACATCATAGTGACTTTGATTTCAGAATGTCTAACTTGATTATAATGATTGTCAATAGACTTTTATGCTTAATAGGGGGGAATTCTAATATCAAGGATACTAAGGGAATGAGTGGACATTCTAATTTAGTTCACTGAATTTTCAAATAATCCAGAAAATCTTCTAATACATTTTCTAATAAATCAGAAAATTCCTTACTTTCTTGCTTTAATATGTAGTGATGATGAACAGAATTTCATCTTCTTCCTCACCTGTAAAATGGGGATAATAACTACCTGAAGAGCTATGGTAAATATGCATAGAAACAACTGAATACTCACTATCATATCCAACAAAAAGCAGAACCTCATGAGATCAAAGTAATTACAAATTTAGGGTCTTGCTCTGATTTCATCAAATGATTATAAATACAAGACACTACAATAATGTGCATAAGAAACTGTACAGGATTTATCACTGTCACTTCAGTTTTCCATATATACATTCCAAAACAACTTATTTTCTCATTCATCAAGTGTTGTTTAAAAACTCGAAATTCTCCAGTTGCAGGCTCTAGTTGATTGATTCCCACACCTCTTCCTACATCAGTTGATGATGTACACTTATAAAAAATGTGTTGTACTGGGGCTGGCGTCATAGTACAGCAAGTAAGCTGCCCCGTGCAATGCCCACATTCTATGTGCATGCCAGTCGGAGTATCTGCAACTCCGCTTCCCCTCCTGCTCCCTTCCTGTCATGACTGGCATGGGCCTGGAGGATGCCCAACGTCTTGAGAGCTCTGCCCTGCTCCTGGTCTTAGCCTGGTCTAAGCTCAGTCCCTGTGGCCACTGACACAGTGGTAGATGATCACTGCATAGGATATTATGCAGAAGACACAAGACTCCTCTCCAGTTCCATCTCTTCCTTATTCTGACATTCAAATAAATAAATACATCTTTTAAAAAAAATATAAACCCACTAAACTCCCTTATTTACATCAGTTTGGTCACAACATTGAAGAAAAAACAATAGAAGTCATCGTTTCTCATGAACATTTAGGATACATTATATAAAGAAACTTTCAAATTTCTATTTATTTATTTGCTTACTTACTTTTTTAAAAAAGAAGCTCTTGTGGGATTAGTATTGTGGCACTGTAGATTAGCCGCTATCTGTGATGCTGGGATCCTCTAGTGGAGTGCCAGTTCAAGTCCCAGCTACTTTGCCTTTAATCACCTTCCTTCCTGCTAAAGCACCAGGGAAGCCAGCGGAAGGCAGTCCAAGCGTTCAGCCCCCTTGCACCCACTGTGGGAGACTAAAGATGCAATTCCTGGCTTGTGGCTTCCAACGGGCCCAGACAGGATTGTTGACACCATTTGGGGAGTGAACCAGAGATTTTTCGCACCCATCTCTGCCCTACTTTTCTCAAATAAGTAAATCTTTAAAAGAAAATTTTAAAGAACAGATATGAAAAGCAGATGCAAATATTTATTTTTTTTTTTATATCTCAACTATTAAAATACATTGAAAACTTTAATGTATTTTCACTAACATCAGTTAGTGAAATGCTTACCTGGGCTCCAACTAACTGGAGAAGTGCAAAGTTGACAGGAAGCACATCAATGTCTGTGTTAATGGCAGTCTGGTCAAACGGACAAGCTTTTCGGTGAAGTTTATTCAGGCAGGTCTTGCAAACAGTGTGTGAACAACCTAAACTGATGGGTTTGTGCACATTCTCATCAAATTCATTATAGCAGATTGGACAGGACAGAAACTCTGTCCACTGAGCTGCCTGCACAGGCATTGTGGAAGCTGGATGCTCGGGTTAGCAGTCTAGCAGATCATTATTTTGCTGTGTAGTGTTTTGTAAGCTGGAAATGGACAAAAGTAAGAATTAACCACATGTTCATTATTCATTTTTTAAGAGTTAACTTACAAGTCAACCATCCTACATAACCTGAGGCTGTTCCAAACAATTGTATATTCAATTTTTTAAAGAAATCTATTAAATTTTTGAAATTTTTGAAATTGTCCTTAGAAACAATACCCTCATAGTATCCATTTTAACTAAATTCTGTATTAATACTGGTTATCATATAACAGTCATCAAAGCTTTCCTTTACATTTTTGTTACATGTGTATCAAACAGGCAAATTTAATTTTCCAAATTCCATTGTAGAAACAGAAATCACTCTGGATTCCCATCTTCAAGTACACCCCAAAACAAACAGAGACTTAGCCTACCATTCAGTAAACTTTTGAAACTACTGAGACAAACTATGGTAGCGAGTGAGTCAAGGGTGGAGAAAACAGCCTTGCCTCCTGAAAGAGGAACTCCGGTCAGGATGTGAGCAGAGAAAGTTGTGATGACACAGGTGTCTGTCCCTCCAAGAAAAATAACAGGAGCTACAAAGTATGTGCTAAGCAAAGCAAACACTCTCCCAAATCTCAAAGTAGACTCACTACAGCACAACTGACTTAGTGCTTCTACACATGGCCAAAACCAGTCATCCAATAAGGTACAGAAGACTAACACGTGATTCTCAACTAACAATTTTAACCAGAAAAAAAGTAAAAACACAGAATCCTATCTTTATTTTACTTTTTAGAAAAAACACTACATACGCATATAATTAAAACTAGAAAGGCATATAAACAAAAATGATGGTGAGAAAATTTTTTCCCTAATTTCGAAGGTTAAAATATCCCCAACATTTTCAAAGAAACATTTAGTATTCAAACTAGACTAACTTGAACATCCTACATCTCACAAATTTCTTTATCTTCCAATTAAAAACTTACCTAAGTTTGATAAAGGATCTGTGATAAATGAGAAATCTAGGTATTTTGGGCAATGAAATGGACAATACTTACATCACAGGAGTGTTTACCAACCCAAAATCCATTCATTTCACAGAAATTAAGTATTTTAAAATGTAGCAAAATTTAAGAAAATTAACTAAAAGCATTCTCCATTATCATAATATGCAAATGAAGAATTCTGATTTCTATGCTTTACCTTCATAAAAAGCAGAAATTAAAAATTTATCTTGAGGGCACAGCACAGTAGCCTAGCAGCTAAAATTCTCACCCTGTATGTGCCAGGATCCCATATGGGCACTGGTTCATATCCCGTTTGTTCCACTCCCCTCCAGCTCCCTGCTTGTGGCCTGGGAAAGCAGCTGAGGATGGCCCAAAGCCTTGGAACCAGCCACCGCGTGGGAAACCCGAAGAAGCCGCAAGCAGGGAGCTGGACGGAAAGTGGAGCTGCCGGGATCAGAACCAGCGCCCATATTGGATCCCGGTGTGTTTAGGGAGAGGACATTAGCCACTACAGTTTTAAAAACTGTTTAAATCGGGCCCAGCACAGTGGCCTAGCAGCTAAAGTCCTCGCTTTGAATGTGCTGGGTTCCAATCCCGGCAGCTCCACTTCCTATCCAGCTCCCTGCTTGTGCCCTGGAAAGCAGTCGAGGATGGCCCAAAGCCTTGGGACGCTGCACCTGTGTGGGACACCTGGAGGATGTTCCTGGTTCCCGGTTTCAGATTGGCTCAGCACCGGCCCTTACGGAGTGCATCACTGGACAGAAGATCTTCTCTGCCTCTCCTCCTCTCTGTATATCTGACTTTGTAATAAAAATAAATCAATCTTAAAAAAACAACTGTTAAAACCATAGTATTCTGAAATAAACTACTAGCTTTATGGTAGCAGACCTTAAGTTGGCTTAGGTTTTAGATAGCCACACGTCTTGATATGATTAATTCCGAAAACTTATTTCTAGCAGAAATCAAACCAATGACATTAAAATATAAAGAAAAAGCTCTTCTAAAATCCTGGCAGGGGCTGGCACTGTAGCATAGCAAGCAGGGTCACTGCTGGCAATCAGGTACCCCACACGAGCACAGACTGGCTCACGTGTCAGCTGTTCTACTCACAACCTGACTTTCAGCTGACGGCCAGAGGGTGATCCAAGTGGCTGGACCCCTGACAGCTCCAGGGAAGACCTGGACCATGATGCTTGCTCCTGGCTTTGGTCTGACCCACCTGGGCCACGGGACCATCTGGGGAGAGAACCAGTAGCTCGCTCTTTGTCTCCCTGTCTTACTGTAACCCTTTAAAATAAATAGATAAATCTTTGAAAATAATAACTGTCAAATTTTTCTCCTTTCACATAGCAATTCCAAGCTATACTTGCATGATCAGATGTAAGAATGTTTTGATTTAAAAAAAAAGTTTTACTTTACAATTGTTACTAATAAACTGCAGTATTTTCAATTAGGATAAATAAATCAATTAAAATACAACAAAATTTACCTAAAACATAGAAGAAACTACACCATTCATAAAAATGCTTAGCGATAACAAAATCAGACTTCTGTTACTTCTAAAAACATCTTTTTTTTTCCCTAAGATTTATTTTCATTGTAAAGTCAGATATACAGAGAGGAGGTAAGACAGAGAAGATCTTCTGTCCAATGGTTCACTTCCCAAGCAGCCGCAACAGCTGCAGCTGAGCCAATCTGAAGCCAGGAGCCAGGAGCTGCTTCTTCCAGGTCTCCCACATGGGTGCAGGGTTACAAGGGCTTGGGCCGTCCTTGACTACTTTCCCAGGCCACAAGCAGGGAGCTGGATGGGAAGTGGGGCTGCCAGAATTAAAACCGGTGCCCATACGAGATCATGGTGCATTCAGGGTGAGGACTTTAGTTGCTAGGCTACATGCTGGGCCCTTCACTCCTTTTTACTTAGAAAATATTTTTGTGGGCCCGGCGCGGTGGCGCAAGTGGTTAAGGTCCTCGCCTAGCACGCCCGGGATCCCATATGGGCGCCGGTTCTTATCCCGGCAGCCCTGCTTCCTTTCCAGCTCCCTGCCTGTGGCCTGGGAAAGCAGTCGAGGACGGCCCAAAGCTTTGGGAACCTGCACCCGCGCAGGAGACCCAGAAGAGGCTCCTGGCTTCGGATCGGCATAGCATCGACCCGTTGCGCTCACTTGGGGAGTGAATCATCGGACGGAAGATCTTCCTCTCTGTCTCTCCTCTCTGTATATCCGCCTTTCCAATCAAAAAATAATAAAAATAAATCTTTAAAAAAAAAAAAAGAAAATATTTTTGTGACTACTAAAATGATAATATCCTCTTATCTTCATCATTTATTTTAAAATAAATTATCAGTAAACACTAAGCCAAAAACATCTTGTTAGACTTATGATCTTACACATCTAATATTAATTTATTTAACACTATGGAAGTCTAAATTTCTATGAACCCTTATGGTTAATGCTGAAGTGTTTTAAAATATAGTCTCCAAACATTTCATGAGAACATCTATTATTTTAAAAATGAATTTAAAATTGTCTTGCAACATAAGAGGACTCGAAATTTTTGTAAAAATTTGAGAGACTGAGAGGCAAAGAAAGAGCAAGTGTTCATTCTCTAGTTAACTCCTTAAATGCCTGCAATGGCTGGGCCTGGAACCCAGAGCTGGGGCCTCAACCTGGGTCTCGTACGTGGGCTACAGGGACCTGTATTGAGCCCTTTGGGTATGCAATGGCACCAACCTTGGCAGAGCCAGCCATCAGTCTGAGGCACTCCAACATGGAGCATGGGCCAAATGTGCCCCCTTGTCTTTTAATTCCATTTTTCCATTAATTTTTTAACTATCCTTACGTATTTCCAAAGCACTTCAAAATGAGACATCTATTATAAACTAAACAATTCTAGGTATCTACAGGGACTACTTAAGAAAAATAGTCCAACTTCCATAACTAATTTTAAGTATTATTATTTTTTCAGTTGCAGAACAGTAACACATACGAATGAGAGATGCTAAAGTAGAGATGAGATCTTCAGCATATTTTTCACTCAAGTAATTTTTCAGGGCATAAGTTCCTGGCCACGAGTGCTAACTCACAAAACAGGAAGAGAAGTAGGCATCTCTTATGCAAATTATAAACAGCTTGTGAGGAGCAAACTGCACAGCAGCTAAGTACTTTCATTTTCTGTTGCTAGTCCACCATATTGTGCAGTCAGTTCAGAACAATGCTCTTCAGTTTCAAACAGCAGAATAAAGTTTATGCTCCTTTCACTGAGAAGCATATCACAGTGTTTCACATTTTTACAATTCTTTATGAAAATGTAAACATTAGCTCAGGTTTGCTCATCAAAACAGCCACTATTTTCATTCTAGTTAACCTATCTGAGGAACGTAATAAGCTACTAAACCAGTGCTATTCAATTCAGAAAACTGAGGAAACAGTTTTGGACTCACAATAAAGCTACCATTAAGTACAACACAGCCCTTAAAATAAAAAGAAGCAAACAAAAACAAAACAATCTGTGAGCTTGAGAACAGCATCCTAATATATCAAGACTGAAAAAAAAAAAAGGAATTTGATTGTTCTGTTAAAAGACTGGCATCACATGGGACTTGGCTGTAAGTTATGACATACACATTACTAAAGCTTTATTTCTTAAATAAAGAAATTTATTTCTTTTATTTATTTATTTGTTAAATAAATGGAGTTGAATCCAGTTTTCAAAAAATAAGTCTAAGATACAACTTTCAATGCATTCTCAGAGAAGTAACGAGAGAAATAAGGGTCATCAGGTAACTTTATCACCCTGATTGCAAGAGGATTCTTTCAGGAACTTTTTTGGTTTTCACATCTTTTATTCAATTAACCCTGTACTCGGAAGAGCAGTGCTGCTACAAGACAGCAAGCTCCAGTAATAGTGTAAGAAACTTACAATTTTCTGATACTCAAAGCAGAAAGCAGGTGAAATCAACATTTTTTCCTTATTACAAATTAATCAAAATATCATGTCAACATGTAATCAAAACAAAAAATGGATACAGAAATAGCTTTGTACTAAGCCTTCCAAACCTCGTGCACAATTTACACTAGTGGTGTTATCTCAATCTACACTGGTAACATTTCGAGCTACAACTGCTACACGGGTCTCTTGTCTTGGAGCTAATCCTGGGCAGGGCAACAGGAGCGCACTCAGGGGTATGCAGTAGTCCACCAAACTCACTCTAAGGATTTTGAGGTAAAAGTTGCGCACTTAAGACTGTTAAATGCGAAGACAGATCACGTTACAAAATACTTGAACCTGGGTGCAGACCGGGTGCAAAACATGAATTTAATTTCCCAGCACGTTTATTTCACCATGTTTCCTTTCTGTATCAGTAGAAAGGTAAACTCCAATCCATCCAACACAGTAAGCCAGTACTTCCTAGGACTTTATTCTACATGTATTTAGCATGCTTAGCTGTTGCATATAATATAGAAGTTCCATTTTGAGCATAAAATCCTAACTGTAAAGAAAATAAGATCCTGGTGTGAGAAAAATGCATCACCAAAAGAACTTTGGTTGACTATTTTTCAAGCTACAAGCCAGCAAATAACGAAAAACAGAAAGGGAATAAATGGAAACATGAACTAAAGATCTAAGTCTTCTCTTCAGGTAAACACACAATAGCAGCAGCTCAGAAGTTAAAGGATCCATATCACACCCTACATCATCAAACATTTTGCTTTCTAGACATGACCCTGCTACATGTCTAACAGTCTGTGCTATTGGCGATTTTTCACAGTCTGAGATCTGGGAAATACTTATCTCCCAATCAACACAAATGCAAATGTCGAAAAGCAGGCCTCTGTTTCAGCAAGAACTGAATGTGACAAGCAAACAACATGAATGCCAGGAAGTGGACCGAGAACAGTGGTGCTGTAGCCAAGGAGCCAGAGCAGAGGGTAAACTGATCAGAGCCTCCACAGAACTTCCTCCAGGACTCCAGGAGCCCTCACACGTCTACACAGCAAACTAAATCCCTACCAGTTAGGGAAAAACATTCTTTTCTTCGCGGGTCAGGTGACATTAGATCACCTTGGTGTATCAACATTAGCTTCCTTCCGCCGAGCAAAGAAAAAGTCTACACATTGAACTATAATCTATACCAGCTAAGCAAAACATTCTCTGCTTTCAGGTGAAACTAGACCACTTTTCGCTGGCAACACGAGCTTCCCCCAAGAAGATCAAAAAGTTCCTATAGAAACTTCAAAGTTTGGCCGAAAAAAAAAAAACACCCCAAACAAACAAAAACATTAAAAAAAAAAAAAAAAGACCCAAACAAAAGGGGGGAAAAAAAGAGTACGTAAGCACTTAATTGGGAACACAAAATTGTCCTCACCTCAGTGAGTGAGGGAGCGAGAACAGAAATGAAAAAGAAGAGAACCCAGGGGGTTACGGACATACAAAAGCGGGTGGGGAATCCCTGGGTTAGGTCCCCATCAGGTCAGGGACGACCTCAAGGCGATTTTGACGCCAAGGCTCTCTTGCCCAGTAGCTAAGGAGACCTTAAGGATGGAAATGACAGCTGCCTTCTCCCCCTGCCTTCGCGGGAGCCAAGAACCAAGAGAAGTCGAGCTGCCTCCCCGAGAAACAAAGATGCTTCTACGATTCTTCTAAGATGGTGGAAGAGTCTCCTCAACAGGCTTCCCCCAAGAAGGAAAAGAAGGCAAGAGGGAGAGCACAGAGCCGGGCTGGGATACGTGCCTCCGCTCGCGCCCACATCCATCCCCTTCGTGGCACGGCTCGGATCCGGCCACCTCCCTCCGGGGGAGGCTCCGCGCTCCACGGGCATTGTCTGCCTGGGGTCCCCATTCCCACTCAGCCCGTCCCCACCAGCCCTGCGCCGGGGTCTCTGAGAAGCCCCCCGTGCAGACAGACGAAAACGAGACCAGGAGGACCAAAACCTCTCCCCGGCCCTGGCCGGCTGCAGAACACCCAAGAGGGAAACCCGGCCTCTCCAGCCGGGGTCCGAGGCGTCCCCCTCGGCCAGCGTCGGAGGGGAAGGTGGCCATTGGAGCCGGGCGCTCCGTAATCGAGAAAGCCCTACCGGAGAAGAGCAAGGCAGAGAGGCAGGCCGCCTTAGGCCCCGGGATCCGACCCTCGGGGCCCCGGGGTGCACAGGCCTGCCGGGCAGCGACGGGGCCCCTCGCCCCCGGCCGCGAGGGGACCGGGCACCCGGGGCGAGGCCCGAGCCGCGGCGTGCCCGCCCCGCCCTACCTGAGGGGGCCCGGGCGGGGTCGCTAAGCGCCGCTCCCGGGAGCCCCGCGACGGCGCGGCTCGGCGACGGAGGCGCCTCGTCTCGCCGCGGCAGAGCTCGGCGGCGGCTTCACGGCCTCAAACTCCATCGGGAGCTCACAGGGACAGCCCCGTTGGCGGCGGCGAAGGCCGCGACGGGGCCTCCTCCTCCTCCTCCCTCCGCCTCCTCCTTTTTCTCCTCCTCCTCCTCACCACGGAGGCGGACCTGGAGGGATCCCGACCTAGATCTCGCGAGAAGATACTGGACAGATCACGCGAGATTACGCAAGCCCGGGAGCCCGGGCGGGGGGAGGAAAGCCAGGAAGTCTCAGCAGTCCACACTGCGCATCGCTGCTCGCGCTGGTCGAGCGGCTCGACCTCCATCACGTGAGGAGGGAGGCCTGGAGCACTGTGGGAACAGGACTCGGCAAACCGAAAGGGCTGATGGGAAACTCCCTGCCCGTTCATCCCCCGCACCCAGACAGTGCTGGGAGCCGGTGGCGGAGTGTCCATGGCTTAAGACAGGGGCTGTTTGTTGAGGAGGATCTGATGCATCTGTTAGGGTGGACTTGACTCTGCCTTCATGAGACGGTGGCAGGAGGCCCTCCATTCCTCTACCCTGAGGACAACTCATCTCCCAATTAGAAAATCCAACACAAAACCCAGAAAGAAAGCGCTTCTCTGCAAAGTCTTTTTGGAAGCTAAATAATGTCTAGCAAAGATAAAAAAAATTTACTCGTAAATTCTAGTGTTTCCACAGATGAATAGAATAGGAAGGGAACATGGATACAGAAATCACAAGGTTGGAACCAATATTATATAATACATATACTTGGTATTAGATGGTTACTTTTACATTTTCCTTTTAATCTTCTATTTCGTTGACTTACTGACATAATTCTAAAAGGCAGATGCTGTGTGCCCTTTGTTACTGATAAGACACCCGACAAAATGCCCATGGCTTGGAATAAAGCCCAGGGCACATCCCTTGTGCTCACTTGGGGAGTGAATCATAGGATGGAATATCTTCCTCTCTGTCTCTCCTCCTCTCTGTATATCTGACTTTGTAATAAAAATAAATAAATCCTAAAAAAACAGCTTATACAGTCTAGTAAGACTCTGAAAATGAGGTGACTTACTGCCTGAGTATTAATGAAACATGTACTTTTGAAAGATTATTTTTGTTCCATGAATTGTTAGATTTTTCCTTTTTCAGGAAAGGTATGCCAATCTAAGAGGAATGTTCCCACTTTACTGTCCAATCAACTGGAACAAATATAGACTTAGTATTTCTAAAATCAAATATTAAAGGGCCCAGCACAGTAGCCTAATGGCTAAAGTCCTCGCCTTGCATGCCCAGTATCCCATATGGGTACCACTTCATACCCCAGCAGTCCCACTCCATGCTTACAGCCTGGGAAAGCAGTCAAGGACGGCCCAAACCCTTGAAACCCTGCACCCACATGGGAGACCTGGAAGAAGCTCCTGGTTTTTGGATTGGCTCAGCCCGGCCATTGGGGCCACTTGGGGAGTGAGTCAGCAGATGGAAGATGCTCCTCTCTGTCTATCCTTTGCTCTATCTTTCCAGTGAAAATAAATCTTAAAAAAAAAGAAAGAAAAAGAAAAGGATTAACAGTGGGGGAGGGGCCAGAAATGTACCATAGTGGGTAAAGCTGCTTTGTGCCTCCTGACATAGCTGTTCCACTCAGGATCCAGCTCCCTGCTAAAGGCATGCACAATGACCCTTCTAGCTTCTGCCTGGCCCAGATGCGAAGTCACACACTGCAATGCCTGGATTCATTAGCTAGCTCCAGCTAGACTTTTTCTAAGCATTTTTTAATTTTTATTTTTATCCGAGTGGTAGATTCCGAGAGACAGATCTTCCATCTGCTAAGTTCACTTCCCAAATGGCTTCAACAGCCAGAGCGGAGGTGACCAGGAACCAGGAATTTCTTACGGGTCAACCATGTGGATGTAGGGACACAAAGAATTGGGCCAACCCTGCTGCTTTCCCAGGACACAAGCAGGGAACCGGATAAAGGACTTGAAATTGGCATGCTTATGGGATGCTGGTGCTTGCAGGTATAGGATTAGCTTGCTAAGGCACCATGTCAGGCCATGGATCTCTAAAGACCCTGAGAAGCAGCAAGGATGGTTCAGGCAACTGGGTTCCAGCTACTTCCATGAGACACTTGGAGTGTTCTGGGCTCCCAGTGTCAGCCTGTGCACCACAGGCATTTATGGATGGGAGCTTTCTCTCCCTCTCTCAAATTAAAACTAAATGAAATAAAATATCCAAGAGCAACCTTGTCCTTCAAAAAATATCATGGGCCCCAACATGATGGCCTAGCAACTAAAGCCCTCACCTTGAATTTGCCAGGATCCCATATGGGCACTGGTTCTAATCCCGGCAGATCCACTTCCCACCCAGCTCCCTGCTCGTGGCCTGGGAAAGCAGTCAAGGATGATCCAAAGCCTTGGAACCCTGCACGCACAGGGGAGACCTAGAGGAGGTTCCTGGCTATTGGCTTCAGATCGACATAGCACCGGCTGTTGCACTCACTTGGGGAGTGATTCATTGGACAGAAGATCTTCCTCTCTGTCTCTCTTCCTCTCTATATATCTGACTTTTCAATAAACAAATCTTAAAAAAAAAAAAATCATGGATGTAGGAAAAACACAAAGCTGTCCATTCCCACCTCCAGTTTATTTTATGTAAACATGAAATAAGTACATCCAAGGAAAAGGGGAAGGCTTTTTCTCTTGCAACAGGTTAACAACTACCTGTACAAGATCTTTTCTTCTACAATGAAGTAAATGGAAAAGTTGCAATCTAATTGCATTTTCGCTGTCATATAAGAAACACAACTAAAAGTAGACAGTTCAAAATGAATGGCTGCCAGTTCAAAATGCCATGGCTGCATATTTTAAAAGACTGCATTTTCTTGAAAAATGTTAAGACATGCAAACATACTCTAAGAATGTTTTGGGGTCACTCTGTGCTACAGAACAAGAATAAATAATATAAATACCCATCAAGTTTACAAAACTCCCTCTTCCCAAGCAAAAATCTCAAAGTGCTCACATCAAATTTTACATTACAAGGCACACATAGAACTTAAAACATAGTTTCAACCAAAATCGCTTAAACATCCAAGTTAGTAGATACCAACTCCTAATTTTTTTAAACTATTTGCTTGCCCTCTCTTCCCCTTCCCCAACCCTCCCCTCCCAAATTTAACCCTAGTAGGTAAAATTAAGGAAAGTATTTCAATCACAAGTAAACTAGTTGAAAAAGGCAAGTATTTTCACACCTAACCAATGACCACTATTAGGTCATATAGGAAAGCAAATTAAGCACTGAACTATCATATTATCCAGTGGAAGAACACTAACTTTAGAAAAATTCTGTCTCTAATGGAGCAAATAGTGATGATCATGAAGACACAAAACTGCTCTCAGGAAAAATTAAATATGAAATGATAGAACTTCAGATCTTGACAGAATCTTACAAATCCCGAAGATCAAAGTTATAATTAGACAAATATAAAGTTTAAGAAAGGTTCCGGGAGAGACAATCTGCCCTATGTCACTTACAAGTGACATGGGTTAAGAAGTCAGTTTTCTCATCAAAAAAGATAAGAATTTTAAAAAGTCTCTTTCAAAGTGAAATTCTGATGGAGAGAACCATTTTCACAGAAGTATTACAAAAAGGATATTACACATTTATGTAACAATCAGTATGTTATTCTTCACAAAATCCCTATAAATGGTACAAATTATTTACAATTTGAAAATGTAGCAGGGCGTCAATAGAAATAATATGTAAAAATTCTACACAAAGCTGAGTTCAATGCAAGAGGAATAGAACAGTCTGAAGATACATCCAGGCAGGCTTCTTTACTCAAAAATAGTTCTTGTCTCTTAAGGAATGTGATTTGCCCTGCAAACTATTTTGATCTCTGTAATGACAGCAAAAACATTTATATCAGAGTGTATACTGAGATGTTGGAGAGCTACAGCTCAGGATACAATGTGAAATATCATCCTTGCCATAGTAATTACAGTTTTCCTTTTGGCAGTTTTCTGGAAACAGAACTCCAGGGATGGTTAAGATTTTTGTCAAAACATAATGAATGAGAAAATTTTATTCATGTAGGTGAAAAAATTACAATTAACACCAAAATCTACCCATATTTAAACGGTTTATCCAGTGACAGAATTAATCCTCTACTGGTAATTCAAGATAAAGGAAGGAAATGAACTGTTGATATGTACAAATACAGTTAAGCCTCAAAGGAAGCGTTATACTGAGAAAAATATCTCAAAATGAGACAGATCTTAAGATTTGTCATTCCAGAAAAGGCTCAAGTGTAGCCAAGAAAAAAATCCTGCCATAATTTACAGCCAAGGGGGCTTTACAAAACACGCAGCTTGAGAGAAGTTGGAAGACTGACGGAACTACCCATATCTGCACTGCAGTGTAGCTGTACAGATATAAACGTGTTGAAATGTACAAAACTAGGACTGGCATAATCAATGGCTAAATCCTCGCCTTGTATGTGCCAGGACCTCATATATGCACTGGTTCTAATCCTGGCTGCTCTACTTCCCTTCTAGCTCCCTGCCTGTGGCCTGGGAAAGCAGTAGAGGCTCTTGTGCCCATGTGGGAGACCTGGAAGAAGCTCCTGGCTCCTGGCTTCAGAACTGCTCAGCTTTGGCTATTGCAGCCACTTGGGGAGTGAACCAGCGCAATGATGATATTTCTCTGTTTATCTCCTTCTCTGTCAATCTGACTTTCCAATGAAAATGAATCAATCTTTAAAATCCCAAAACTATCCACAAAAGAAAAATTTTAGCATATGTAATGGGAAAATAAAGATTTCTATTTAAAAGGAAAAATCTGAGTCTCATAAAACTGCAATTTCCAAGAGCATTAATTTTTCACAGCTTCATACCAATACAATTTTACTGACCACACAACTAGTATGTTCACATGGATTAAACCAAACCTAGAAAAGCACCCCTTTATTTCCAAAGTAAATATACCAATAATTGATAAGGAAAAAGTTTAAGGAACATCAATTCTTGGTAAGGAAATTATGCTACTCTTATCTTAAGTGAATCAGAATTGTTTCTTTGTGGACAGGTAACTTGGTGATAAGTTTAGAATCTCAGAACTCTTTCTTCACCCTATGTATGAACTCCTAGG